CCCGTGAGTTTGAGACCCACATTGGGTATAGAGCTTACTAAAGTAAATAAACTTTTAATGAAAAAAGTAGGATCCAGGGGGCACCGAGCACAGGTGAGGAAAAAGCATCAGTTCTCAGAGCCAGAAAAGTCTGCATTTAAATAACAGTTTTGCTACCTACTTGCTGTGTTATGTTATACAAGACAGCCCACCCTTCCTTGGGCCCAGCAAAAGTAATGGTCTCAGTAAATAATTTTTCAATTCCTCTAAGTCTGAACCTCTAAATCAGCTTATAGACATTGCTGCTTAGAGGAAAAAGTAGGAGGAATTAGAGCCAGACATCTTCTCCTAGTTGTTGGGAAGAGCTGTCTAGAGTCCATTGAATTGCCTATAAAGGGAAGTGAGTTCTCTGGCTCTGAAGTAATCAAGAAGATACTGGGTAATCCTTCCTCCAGCCCTGAGAATACCTAAGGGAGGATGCTCGCCAGCCCAGCCGCATCTGCTCTTTGCCTAGCATCATTATGTGACTTTCTCTCCCCCCACCTGAACTGGATCACTTCTTTTATTAATGTACACATTCGTTCAATGAATATCAGGATTTTACTCATTCAAAATATTACTGTCATGCTTTACTGTGACAAAAGAAGTTGCTGAAAGATCTACTTTTTTTTTTCTTTTAGATTTCATTTATTTTGGAGAGAGAGAGAGAACAGGAGTGGGGGAGAGGGAGAGGAAGAGAGAATCCCAAGCAGACTCCCTGCTGAGCAGGGACCCTGACGTGGGTCTTGATCTCAGGACCCTGAGATGACAACCTGACCCAAAATCGAGAGTCAGACTTAACTCACCGAGCCACCTGGGTGCCCTGAGACCTACCTTAACACGTGTCTGGGTGTACAATAAGCTGGTGTTGACTATAGCTACAGCGGACTTCAGGAACTTCATCTTCTGGCTTACTGGAGACTTGATGTCTGCTGATCAGCAGCTACCTTTCCCGCCCTCCCCCAGCCCTTGGCAACCGCTATTCCACTCACTGATTCTGCGAATTTGACTACTTTAGATTCCCCATGGAAGTGGAATAATACACTATTTGTCCTTTTGTGGCTGCCTTATTTCACTTGGCTTGATGTCCTCAGGGTTCATCCTTACCGTCACATATGACAGGGTTTTCGTTTTGAAGTCTGAGTGATATCCCACTGTGTCGATAGATCCCGTTTTGCTCACCTCCTGGCCTCTTGAAGGACCATGAGTTTGTTTCCACGTCGCGGCTGTTGTCAATAAAGCTGCACTGGGCATGCGCGTGCGCAACGCAGGTGCTAGCTGGGGAACCCCGTCTTCATCTGTCTAGGGGAACCTGAAGCCTAGAGGCTGCCCGTGTTTTTAGAGCCCCCAGGTGTGTTGCACAAGGTGGAATGAGGCAAAGGGACAGATGACAGAACGGCAGGGAAGGTAAACGGTTGCTGCGTTCAGCAAGGGTTTGTTGGTATCGTCAGAAGGACTTGTGCCTAATGGATAATCGGGGGGGGAGAGAATGACTCACGTGGGGTCTGAGAGGCGCTGATTGGGAAGAGGGGGAGGTTGGGAGAGACACGGAGCTCACTGGAGCCAACAACACTGGAAAGACGGGAGGAATGCAGATGATGCGTGAGACGGAGCTTGCTTCCTGGGGCTGCTGGGGGAGCTTGAAGCCCCCACGGAGTGTGGGATGTGAGTCTCCTGCTTGTTCCCCCAACAATGTTCAGGGAAATCTCAATTGCTCTGTAATCCTTCATGCGATCACACTTGTTTTTCTTGGAAGGTGCAAAGAAGTGAGTGGATGAAAACAGAGCGTGCCCGTCGAATCAGTCACCTTGGGGTCACGCTTGTATCCCCAGTGACCAACCTTGCGGCCAAGGGCAAAGCTCTTTCTCTCAGGGATGCGGAGTCCGGCGTACCACACCACATATCCCCAGTCAGTGGCTGCTGAATGAGCAGAATCCGCAAGGTCTATAAAAGCAAGAGGCTTGTGAGTGTTTCCTTCAGCTCTCCCCTGCAGCCCGCCCTCCTCACCCCCAGGCTCCCCCCAGGAACATAGATGGTTTTAAGATCAACTGGGGCTTTGGGCAAAGGTTCAGCTGGTTTTGTTTTTTCCTCTCTGATCTGCTCTGACTGTCCCTGGTCAGGATCGCAGCCAGCTTGGAACAAACACAATCTAAATAGGAAAACAGGAGAATAAAATAACAGCAGTGTGTACCTCTAAAACCCTGTCTAGTGCTGATAGAGCCGATGAGATAAGAGAAAATTGTATTTAAGCAATAAGAGGACTTTGTTCATGTCTTAGACTTCTCTGACCGTGAATGTTTTAGATGCAGAGATAAGCCCTTGCCCTCCCCCCTCCTCCCCAGCCCCCAGCGCTCCAGAGATGCACTCCACCCCACTCTGCTGGGGACAGGCAGCTCAGAATACAGGGGAAAGAATTCCAGAGCGATACAGGTCTAGTTGCTGGCCTGGATTTCAAATGCCATAGAGAGTTTATGCAAAGTCTCGCACTGTTGTCAAATGTAACACTATCCACTGGCAGATCTGCCTGAGCTCCGTCCCAGTTGTTTTGTAGAAAAATAAATAAACTGGAAGACATCTTCCAGCCTAATAAAGTGGCTGCTTTGCCCATAGTCTTCTTGGTATTAGGCTTCTAGAGATTTGAATAGCAGAAGCCTTCACCTGCTTCTGGCCAATGAGATGGTTGAATCTTGGCCCCTTCTTGTGCTTAAAGAGGTTACCTGTGATATTCAGGAAACTCATACCGTGTGCCCAGAACCCACTGGTTTCTCAGGAAAGGGGTGGGGAATTTTGGCACTAAACAGGTTTCAGTACTTTTCAGTGTTCTTCATGCAGTAAAGCTCTTTTCTTAAGGGAAACATTACATGGCAGCTGGGTATTTAAGGTGAGTGGAGATGCTACAGGTAAAGCAGCAGAGAGAGAAGGAAGCAGATCTCACAGCCTGACCCACAACGGACACCTCCAAGGAACCCTGTGAATCCCTCAAAACCTATGACCTAATCTGACATTCAGATGTCAGAGGTAAACCAGGCTCTCCTTCAATGAGGCCAGCATGCCACCGCAGAACTTTCAGGGTGACTGATCTCACCCTGAAGATTTGGGGATTCTCCAAAGCTGACTAAACAAATCATCTTCCTCTGGGGTTTCGAGAATGAATTGATGAAGATATTAACAGTAAGGGACATAGGTGAAGCATACGTACAGGACTCCATGTTACCTTTGCAACTTTCCTGTAAATATAAAATCACCCCAGTACACACACACAAAAAAAGCTCATTAAAAAAAAAAAAAAGGCACTGAGATTGCAGTTGTAGATTATAACATAGGCATCACGTATTTTTTCTTGAGTTTGACTAATGAAATTGATATATGACTTTTCCACTCTGTGTTTCATCTGCACTCCTCTGTAGGAATTTCTGGGCGATATATGTTCTTGCTTTGTGTGATTTTTATAAATGACATCATATTGTACCTGTCCATTTATACCTGGTTCCTTTCTCTGTCTTGTTTTTACTTGGTGTTATGTTTTTATAATCTCTCCATCGAGGTCTTGAACTCAGGAGTAGGGCTTCTGTTTTTAGTGGCCAGGTCCCATACTGGACCTGATATTAAATATTTCTAGTGTCATCCCTATATATGAATCTAATTCAGGCCTCGTAAGAGTCTTTTGCTGTATAGAAAATCTGTCATGTGAATATTTCTTACCTGATGCATCCCTTCCCCAACAGATGAACATGTAAGCTATTCCCAATTTTTTGCTACTACAAATATGGCTGGAATAGGTAGCCTTGATTCTTGTATATATATATATACATATATATATATATATATGTATATATATATATATATTTCTTTTTTCCCCTCTTTTTAAATTTGTTTTACATGTACATGTGTTTATTAGGATTGATATTAGATTATCTTTTGGGTTTTGTTTTTTTTTTTTTTTAATAGCTTTCAAGAGCCTTAGAGTTCGCTAGGTCAGCCTTTCTCCGATGAGTGTAGGGAGACCTGCCCGGGTATAGGATATAGGGAGACCCAGATCCACAGGGGAGGGTTGCAAGAGGGGCCACATTCAATGTCAGAGGAAAAACACGAATGCCAGATGGCCTTCTGCGGAAGGTCTGACCAATCTCAAGAACAAGCCAGTTGCTTCTGGCCTTTTCCATTGTAGAACTTTTCTGTTTTCTGCTGTACAATTTACAGTATTACGTGCTGGTGTGGTGCCTCCATGGGTATCTATGCTCAGTGTTCCGAGCTCCTGGGCATCTCTCTTGTCCCACAGTGCTCTGCAAAACGCTGTCTCCCAACAATAGGACTCGAATAAGTGAATGAACTGAGGGACGAAATAACATTTGGATACACAGTAGGCACGCATAGACTCAGTGCGTGTGCGTGTGCATGTGCACACACACACGCGCACGCACGCACACACATTCTGTCTCTGGAGGATATGGCCATCCTGTCTGAGTCTTTTCTCTGTCCTTAATACAGCTCTGAGCACAATGTACAGATCTGTGCTAAAATGGTCTGCTTGCAGTTCAATACTCTGTGAGATCCCACCCCCTTATCCTGCCTTTTCTGCCACCTTCCCCAAGCTCTAAGAGTACCAGGCAGCTTAGCACATACTAGACTTCTCCGTCCCCCTGAGCCTTTGTTCCTGCTCCCTGCACCTACACTGCCCTTCCCTTGTGTCCGCTCTGTTCTTCAGGATCCAGCTTAGAGGTTACCTCCTCCAGCATCTGTCCCCATGAGCATTTCTTTGTCACCTCTGCCGCCAAAACATGTTGTCTGTTCTTCCCTTCACGGTGTTGAGGGCTCCCTGTGCTACAGCAGAATGTGGGTTCCTGGGGCAGACTCCCGTCTGTGCACCCCTGTGTTCTCCTGTGGTGCTCAGAACAAAATAGGTAGGTAGGGAAGGTGCATCTGATTGAATTTAGTTTAGCTGTGGAGATCCTTTAAAACTTTTTTTCTTTCTCTCTCCCCAGGTGTGTCGAACCAAGGTGATAGATCTCAGTGAAGGCATTTCCCAGCATGCCTGGTACCCTTGTACCTTCAGCTACCCGTACTCCCAGATGGCTCAGACCACTTTCTGGCTCCGGGTAAGCCAAAGCCTCAGGATCTCCAGGAGTGGGCCCCAGGAAGCACCAGCTCCTGTGACCCTTTCGCAAGATGGTTTGTCTCCCCACTGAGGGTGTTAATTGTAAGGACAGAGAACAAAACACTTAGCAGTAGGAGGCTCCCTGAAATAGAATCCCTTTGATGCGCATGGAATGCCCCTCATCCTTCTTGTTTTGGCAAAGACTTTGGATATCTTTTGTCTGCCTGGAACCTTCTGTTCATCATTCAAGGCCTTTTAAGATTGTCTTCTCCTCCTTGAAGTCTTAACTGATCCCCACAGAGAAGTGACTGTTCTCTCCCTTCTAGTCCTGTACATATCCGGTCGTCTGTCGGATGACGCTTGTCATGTGGTATTGTATCACTGTCATTGGGTCCATCTTCTTGACTAAGGATTAGGGATTGTACTGACTTTTGATCTACATATCACTGACCCACTTTGAACTCCACGGTCTGCAGAAAGGCAAGGGCCACGTCTTCCTTAGCTTTGTCTCCTTGATGCCTTGCACAGAAGCTAGGACAGAGAAGGGACGAATAATAATAATAATGCCTTTTTATGTGGTCTTAGGGTATGCCAGACCCTTTGTTCCCTTGACCTTACTGGAGACTCATGGCCGCCCTGTGATCCAGTTCTTTTACTTAATATATCACTTCGGAGTGAGGGAACTTAGGCCCAGAGAGTCAGAGCTGCCTCTCCCCACCACACGGCTCAGCAGGTGCAGAGACACGTTGGAGCAGTTTCTGACTTCAGAGCCTGTGTTCCTCACGGCCTCCTTGTTCCCATCATGGACCCGTGCCAAGCGGCCCAGGCCCTGCAATGTAAGATGCTTCTTGCAACCCCCTCCCTGTGGCCGGAGTGCATGAGTGACCCTCCTGTGTCTTCTGCATTTCAGGCATACTTTTCTCAGCCAATGGTTGCCGCAGCTGTCATCGTCCACCTGGTGACGGATGGCACCTATTATGGGGACCAGAAACAGGAGACCATCAGCGTCCAGCTGTTTGATACCAAAGATCAGAGCCATGATCTCGGTGAGCACGCTATCATGCAGGTGGCTCTTGGGACCGTATCTGCCTAGGGTGGTTCAAGGAGCCACCAAGAGCTAGTTCTTCCTTCGTCTTTCCTCTTTCTTGCTTCTCTGTTTGAAGTTCTGCTTGCCTTCAAATCAGGAGGCTTTTGTGTATCCCAAGAAGCCTGGATGTGGCAGATAGGGGGATTAGGGGCTACAGTCCCAGTCCTCCCTTCAAGAGCATCTTTCTGCCAGGCATCCTTAATCTCAGGCACCCCTCTGATCCTCAAAAGGCCCCGGGAAGGAGGACACTGAGCAAAGGCCCTTTCTGCAGATATCAGCATCTGAGGCCCCAAGAGAGGCACTGAAAGATCCCGGGTCACATGGCCAGGTCTCTGGAATCCTAGCCATGGCTCCCCCCCCACCCCCCGCACAGGGAGGTGTCCCTTAGCGCCCCATTGCAGCAGCCGTGCCGTTCCTGCCGGCACCACCTGAGGAACTCCCCCACAGGAGGAGGAGTAAGGAAAGACCAGAAATGGGAAGGCAGGTAAAGAGCCAGGTCCTGCATGCTGAGAGGCTGCCTCTGCGTGGGGCTGGGGTAAGGGACAAGGCCAGAGTCGTCAGGCAGTCACTTGCACACCCCTCCATGCACCCATGTGTGCATGGGGCAGAGGAAAGAGCCCCAGCTCCAGAGCCGATGGCCTGGGCTTCCGTCCTGTCCCTGCCACTCCCTCGGCTCGAGAAGGTACACACTTTTCTTGACCTCAGAGCCCCTCATGTGGCATCTTACTCTCCTCAAGGACACAATGGGGACAATGGTGCCACTTCATCGTCAGAGCGAGAAGGATTCCTCAGGGCTGTGGTGACAGTGCCCGGCATGAGCGCCCACACTGGGAAAGCCCTGTTGTCCCTCCCACATTTCCACTCTAACTCTGGGTAGCCATTGCCAGTGTCTGGAATCCCAGGCCAGCCCCGGAGGCCGGCCTCCATAGCTATGGCTGCGCCATTCCACAGAGAGCTCGGTTCAAAGACCCGTATGAAGCCAGCAGGCAAGGGGTCATCTCAGGGTCAAGCAGAAGCCCAGGGGGCAGGGAGAGGATTTTGTTTTGTTTTTATGTTTACTTATTTAGTTAGTTTTAGAGGCAAGGGAAGTGATGGGGTTGGGGTGGGGTGGGGTCATATGAATAAGGAAGAGAAAGAAAACCCCTCTGGACTTATCTGGATTCCAGAGAAAATTCCCTAAGTGAGAAGCAAATATTTTCCTAGCTGTCGTGCCATTGCAGCGGGCTCTGAGGCGTGGGGAAAGGTCTGGTTCCACAGAAGCTGCTGGGATCCCATGACCCAGTGTCTGAGGCTTCCACGTGTCCCCGTCCCTCCCTGCAGTGTCCCCTGACCTCTGTCCTCCGATCCTGGCACCCCTTGGGGAGTCTTTGCTGTTCTGAGGGTCCAGAGAAGGGCGCCTTCTGGATGGGGAGCTGGACGTCCCCAACAGCGCAGGCCTGCCGGGATGCACACAGATTCAGCCCTGAGTTTAGATGCAGGAAGTGAGTTTTGGGAGCTTGCCGGATTCACATCATTAGGTAGGCTCAGCCGTGATGTGAACTGAGGTCCATCAAACCCCAGAGCCAGCGTCTGTTTCTCCCACTGTATCCCACCCCAGCATTCCCTTCTGTCCTCTGGGCATGCCTTTCCTCTCTGCTTCCTCCCTTCCTCCTCGAAGCCTGGGGACCTGTTCCCCATTCTAGAAAGAACTGAGGGCTTTGGGATGGGGCAAGCCCGGGCTCAGCATGGCCTGTACATAGCTGGCTGTTGGGGGCACCTCTGGGAAGCCAATTCCTGCCCTTGGTTCCCAGGGTTACCTCTGCAGCCCTGCTACTGAGGTCTGGACCTTGCAGGACTGCTCTTGGGTTCCTGGACTAAAAACGAGGGCAGCCTGCTGCTGTGGCTGGTGTGCACTATCTCTGCGGCTGACTGGGAAGGCAGCCTGGAAACTAGCAGCTCGGACCATCCAGCACAAACGCAGCGTGGGAGGGTGGTACTGCCCGCCATGCTTCTGTGAGGGGTGGCCTCTGGGGGCGGGAGAGAGGCTGTGGGCGCTAGGTGAAGGGAAAGCTTAGGGGGCAGGGAGGCAAAGGGATTGGAAAGATTTGGAACCGAGAGAAAAAGGCAGACAAAGAAACTTTCAATCAAACTCAAAATCCCCACTGGCCACCCAATGGTGCTTTTGTGCAGTGACATGAAAGGGTCTGGGGGCTTCGGGAAGGGCCCGTTGGGGAGGGCGTGACTGGCCTTGAGTAATGAGCCTGGCCCCTCGGCCCTCTGTCTCTCCTGACAGGCCTCCATGTCCTGAGCTGCAGGAACAATCCCCTGATTATCCCTGTGGTACATGACCTCAGCCGGCCCTTCTACCACAGCCGGGCGGTTCGTGTGAGCTTCAGTTCACCCCTGGTCGCCATCTCGGGGGTGGCCCTCCGCTCCTTCGACAACTTTGACCCCGTCACCCTGAGCAGCTGCCAGAGAGGGGAGACCTACAGCTCTGCTGAGCAGAGGTAAGGGACCCTGTGCCGGAATGCCCTGGGCCGTTGGCTAGCCAGAAGCAGATGGAGGACTTCTGGAACCGCGTAGACCTGCGTGTGGCTGTGAAAAGTCTGTGTGTTTCTCCCTGCTCCATCCTCTGGCCTCTGGCCGGCTCTGCCTTTGGGCCTGGGAGGCCCACACGTGTCTCTGGATTCCAGGGGTGAGGGAGGGAAGCAGGAATGTGTGCTGGCGGAAACATTCCCCCACCTGGCTCGCAGTCCCAGTGCTCGCGTGGTAGACATCGCTTCTCCTCTCTGGGTCTCAGCATCCACATTTGGACAAAGAGAAGAGAGGTGGATTAGCTGTCCTGCAGCTCGGACATACTGGAATATTTATTTAGGGGATGGAGGGAGCCTGTATTTTCTGTGTCTCCGTTCACTGTATTCCAGTGTTGAGGAAATTTCCCCATCTTCCCCAAACCTAGCTCCTAAGATCCCCTCTGCGGTCTCGGGGTCTCTGGTCGTGGGGCAGCATTACCCCCACCCATGCCTCTGATCTGGTGTCTGCTAATGCCCCTCGTCTGAGCTGAGAGAGCGTGGTATCTCCTAGAAAGAGTAAGAGTTTAGGGGATACTCTTAGGTGGGTCTGGACGTGTCCCTTCTTGCGTGTGTGTCTGTGACTTTTCTGAGTTTTGCTTTCCCATTTTTGGATAAACGGACGATAGTCTCTACCCCCCCCCCCCCGGTGGGTCATCGGGGTTCAATGGTGCGCCACAGAGCAAGGCCCTCTCGCGGACCGTGAGGCACTGTGCCAAGCTGCTCTATTAATATGGGATATTTATGGCCACTTTCTGATCTGACAGGGGTGCTTCTCTGCCGAGAATGCCACATGAAGCACTTAAAGCTGGAAGAAGCTCTGGAGATCATCTAGGACATCCAGAGTGTCCACACTCCCGCATTGCCCTCTAGAATTCCAGGGCCCCCAAGGGAGAAAGAAGGGCTGGTCCCTGCTCCCACAGCAACTCTCACGTTTAATGAGATCCAGAAGGAGAAAAAGAGATTGAGGCATGGGGGGTGGGGGCCGTGGTCTCCGTGGGTTCCCGCCAGAGTGAAGCCCTCTGAAAGGCAATCGCCCCCTGCCCTGTATACCTGGGAGCAAGGAGAGGAGAGGATTGGGGGGTGGGGCGGGGGTGGGGGGGGCGGAGAACAACACTGGCTTTCCCACGCCCCTGCCACCACAGGGGACACAAAAGGTGGTTGCAAAACCCGCATTGTTTTGCACCCACAGTCTCTAGCTTCTGTTGTGCAAAGTCTGTTGCAATCGTGCAGAGGCAAAAGAGCTCCTTAAATATCACTCACTGTTATATTTCACACTAAAAGGGCTTTTTCATCTCTGGCTCTCCAGACTATAAAAATAAGTCAATTCTCAGAGCCCAGGGAAACAGTGTTGATGGGCAATGTAAATCCATTAGACCTTTTCTGCAGCCCTTTCTTTCCCGTCCTTAACCAGCCACCGGGACGACGGGCAAGCTGACAGAGGCCAGCACTGGCTTCTTTGAATTCTTAATTAACAGTTCCTGTGCCCGAAGTAAACAGAAGTGTCTTAGTTCAGAAACAATCAGCTGTTGAGCAGCTGTTGGGTTCTCTGACTGGAGGCAGAAGAGCACCGGGAAGGGACAAAGGGTCTCACTGGTTATATGACTGTGAGCCTGTCAGTCCGCCTCTCTGGGCCTCAGTTTCTGCATCCATGGGATGATGGCGGAGGATGGGATGTTCCAGTTCTGACATTCTGTGCTTTCCACGAGCCGGGAGGGAGAAGAAGGAGGGGGAGGACAGCGACAGGCACTTCATTACCTTATACCATTATTTTATTTCATTATCACACCTGTCCTGTGGTGTGGACAAGAGATGTGAGGTGTGGACAAGAGACAGTGAGTCAAGGCCATCCGGGCAGTAGGAGGCAAAATCTTGCTTTGTCTGCCCCTGAAAGCCACGAGGTACTCATCAGAGTCAAGCACATCCAGGAGAGAAGGGGACTCGTCACGGCTGCTCATGTGTGAGCATTTAGCAAGGGGAGCAGCCGGAGGTGAGGGGCCCGCGGCCCTGAGGGCCTCCGTGGCTCGGCCCTGAGCGTGGACCTGGCTGAGATGGGCTGAGCCCCCGGTGCCACCGCTGCGGGGCCAGGGGGATGCTCCAGAGGACAGGGGCTGGGGAAGGAGGCAGCTGCCCCTGTAGAGCTGGAGAAGCTCTCACCCAAACAGTCGGGACCGCACAAATGTGCAAGTGCATTAAAACAAACAAACCAGGAGGCAAGAAAAGAAAAATAAGCAACAACTGTAAAAAGCCACGGGATGTTTTTCTTCATTCTCAAAACACCAAGGTAAATAGCATCACTTTTTATAGCCCGCGTTTCAGCTGGCTCTGGTAGAAACAGCCCACTTGACTCTCAGCTGGTTCCCGGGTCCTGAGAGGGGCCCGCCTCGCCTCCCCAGCCTCCGGCCCTCCAGCCCTCACGTCCCCACGGATCCTCTTTCTTGCCGCCTCTGGCCCTTCCCCGCCGTCTCCACCCACTCTGCCCCCTCTCCCACCCTTTTCCCCTTCCCATGTTCATTTTCTTCTCCGGAGAGCAGCGTGATGCCTAGCGGGCTGCCTTGAGAGGAGCATCCCTAGAGCAAAATCAATCCGGGCCGTGGGTTCTGACCTAGATTCAAGGGTCTCCAGTCCCCGGGTAGCACTTGCACTGAATCCAGAGGCCCACGAAAACAGGATCAGGTTTCAAGGGAGAGGTCCAGTCCTGGAATTCTAGCCAAATCCCAGCACCACACCTACGGGGAAGAGGGAACGGTGGGGGGCTTAGCCATGGTGGTGGCAAGTTAAGAGGCTAACTCAGTGACGAAAGCAGCACTCATGGATTGAGGCTCCAGTGTGTCTGACACACACACACACACACACACACACACACAGTATCCTATGGTTCTAAACAGAGATTAACCAGCTTATTATAAAATCCAGTGGGCCATGTGCTTACACAATCAGTAAACTCCCATCCTCTCTCCCTTCTCTTCCCTCCCTCCCTCTCTCTATCCCTCTGTTCTCCCTTCATTCCCTCCCTCCTTCCTTCCTACCTTCCTTCCTTCCTCCAACCCCCTTTATTGTTTGCATTCTTTCTCCCTCTACCGCAAACTCGTCCCACTTCCCATGCCAGCCCACCCGGAGAAGGACAGTTCGGCCAGGGAGCTAACTGTGAGAAAGGCAGCTCCGGGAGGAAATACATTCTTTAGTCCTTCCAGTCCACATGGACTTGGATTGGGTGGGTTGGGGGTGAGGATAGGTACCTACAGGAGCCCACCAAGGAATATCCAACCCATCAGATAACCATATAGGAAAATCACGTGTGAGATTCGGAGCCCAGGAAGAAGCTTCTCATGGCCAGAGACCACAGGCTTCCCTAAGTTATCCAGCCCATGAGAGGATCAGCCCCTCTCAGAACACCTGTTGGGAGTTGCTGGTCTGGGGGATACGCCTCATGGATGGAACTGAGGTGCCTGAGCCTGTGTCTCTTCAACAGGACCGGTTGCTCCTGATTCTTCTCCAAGATGTTGTTCAACTTCTGCTCCCATCAGAGGTCCCCTGGAGTTCCTCTGCTTCCACATCCTTGTCAATAATCAGGATGATCAAAATGTATTCTCGCTCTCCCCAAGAGCTCAGAGATTATATGTCTCTGTTGTTTTGTCTTCATAAAACTGTGGTCGCTGAAAGCAGGGAGGCCTCTAACAGGTTCTCTGGTTCTGCATTCTCATCTGAGGTCCAAGCAAGGGACGTGAGCTCCCCCGAGCCACCCAGCCGCTCAGCAGCAGAAGCGGCATTGGAATTCACTTCTCAGGCCTCCTGGGGCAAAGCACATTCCTCTTCATCAGAAGTTTCAAGACCGCTGTCCAATAGGCCAGAAAGGACCACAAATAACTTGTGTCTGGCCCTCTCTTCTTTAATAAGTTGCCAACATTTAACTACCAGGAATGTTCGTAGTGAAGACATGGGTAGGTCTGGAGACATGACAGGGTCGGTGCTGTGGGCCACCTGGGCCAGGAGTGACCTGCTGCTGCTCTGCTGGCCCCCCTCCCTCCCTTGGGCACCCCAAGAGCTGCTCGCTGCCATCCCAACCTTGCAGACCTTGACTTTGCCTCATCACCATTGGGCCAGCGCCTCCCTGGCTCCTAGGATTCCAGGGTGAGAGATCCTTTCAGGATCCCCTCCAGCAGCCGCTGCATTCCTGGGCAGAGAACCAGGAATCCTATCTTGATCATTCTTTCTCTGTCTCACTTCCCAGGGACCCTGCGGCCCTCCTGCCAGGAGCGTCTTCCCTCCCTTCCTGGCATGGACATGCTATCTTATCCGCTGTCTCCATCTGAGCAGCCCAAAGTGACTTATAAACCACCTTCTGTTACTTACTGTCCCCCACCTCGCCCCATAATGTAGTTGCAGCAAAGCAGCTGAATATGGGAGCTAAGCTGAGACTCAAGGGACACAGCCAGGAGTGGGACCCTCACCAGCCTTTTACCGCTAGTCTTCTGTATTCTGCCTGAGCAATACCCACCCATTCTGCTGTCTGTGACTGGAGACCAGTGCCCTGGGCTGTGGGAACAGCAGTGGGGGGATTGGCTATTCAATCACTTAAGGATATGCCTCTATGTGGAACTTGAATCTATAAGGAAGTAAATGTATTTATTTATATATAGGTATACATATAAATATATTTGTGTGTATATGTATGTGAGTGCATATACGTACATATATACACATACATACACATATACGGAAAAAAGACAATTTCTAAATATCTGATTATCTTTGTGGGGGGGAGGGTGTCCCCATCTTTGCCCAGGTGTGAGAATTTCATTGATAAAAGCACTTATGTCCCCTCCCCCATCCCTCAGATCAGCCAGCTTCCTCCCTCTGAGAAGTGTCTTCTTTTTTTCCTTTCTTTTGTTATTTTTTATTGCTCATCACTGGTATTAAATCCTTCCTTTTTTTTTTTTTTTAACGAAGCCAGAGGCTTTTCTTTTGTTCCTTGTTTTTGTGTTTCAGCAATGACAGAGCTGTGTCAGGGAGGTATTTGGGAGGGGCACTTGGGGGTAATGTTTATCATTTTTGGACAGTGTGTTCACACCACCCTTCCAACTTCATGGGAAAGCAAAGAGAAGAGCAGGGGCTTGGAGGACAGACAGGCAGACCTTACTGGTTTCTGTCCACACAAGAGTGCCTTTGGACAGGCAGCTAAGCTCACTGAGTCTCACATTCCTCTTCTCGAAAATGGGAGTAATTGTACTGCCTCAAGGAGTTATGGTGAGGATGCAAGCCAGGTGATGTGGATAAAACACAGTACAGCTGATAGCTGGTACACATGACCTTCCTTCCCCCTTTCCTCCCTATTTTCAAGCCTGTAAGCCGGCACACACAGATATGCTGGAAAAACAGAGATGCCCCGGTCCCCACAGTGTGTTCTGGAAGACACTAGCCCAGAAATCTCCTATTGGAAAAGGTTATCAGAGTTTGGAACATCATAGCCCCTTTTAGAAATCCACTATGGGTATCAGAATATTGAAGGTTCTAAGAAGTCCTGCAATTGTGTGTATGGGGGTGGGAGTTGATTTATTAATCCAGTACTACCAATTCTTTTGACTGTGAAAACTTTTGGTGAGATAATTCATGTGACCAGGAGATACTTTCCTTCTACAGCCCAGAGAGTCAGAGTAGAGAAACCACCTTCTCTTGTAGCATCATGGTTTCCAAAGTATTTCTCACCCATGGGCCCTTTGATTGTACGAATATGCTGAGTTCCATCCTGTCCAGGACCTTCGTGCGTGCTCTTTACCCTCCTGGGGATTCCCTCATCCAAACCTTTGCATGGCGTATCCCCTCATTTCATACAGGTCTTAGTTCAGATGTCCCTTCCTTGTGGAGGCTTCCTTCCGTGACCCATCTGCACTTGGTATCTTTCCCCCAACCTCCAACAGTCATCCTCCATGATTTCACCTTTAGTGCCCTCTCTGTGCACACGACTATCTGAAACAGTCTTCTTTATGGCTTTTCTGGGGCGCATGTCCTTTCTCCTCAAATTCGCAGGTGGCAGGCATCTTCTATATAGCCCCATTGTCTAGAACAGTATAGCAAGGTCCCTCTTCAAGGTCTGTTGAATTGGTGAATGAGTGGCTGACATGCTATCCTGTTGACACTCCTGAGAGATGAATTGGCTTATTGCTTCCATTTTGCAGATGGGAAGACTGAGTCTCAGCATATGATGTAACTTTCCAAGGTCAAACAACCCATAAATGGCATTGCTGGGGTAGGGCTCAGGTTTGCCCAGTTGCTAAGCCCTGTGCCGTTTCCATTTCAACAAATCCATTTTTGTTTCCAGTCTATTCTTTTTCTTAGGAAGAACATTAACATGCAGAGAAATGGGTGGGGGGACAGGCACATGCTGCTTTTCTCTTCATGGACCCCACAGCCCAGGGCAGCCCAGAGCCTCCCAGTCATCATCTCAGGGAGTGTAGAGCAAGCATGGCCACACTGGAAGGCATAGGTCAGAAGACTGGCTTGGGAGCTGGTAACTTGTGGAGGAAATCTGTTTAAATTGGAACCATGTGGCTCTTGCCCCCAGGCCTTACACACCGTGAACAGATGCATTGTGTGGTGCCAGAGCCCTTGCTCTGAGCCCACAGAAACTCTCCTGGAGGCTTCCCCAGGGCACCGGGTGCAGTTAGGGCGAGGCTGTCAGGGGCAGGAAGAAGGACAGAGAATCCCAGCATCTCTGCAGGTGTCACTTTATCCCTCTCCGCCTCCGAAAGGGGGCATGTGGAGAGGCAAAGCCCACGTCGGGTGTGGGACCAAGACCTAAATCAGATGCTCCCCTCTTCTGAGTTTTTTTTTTTTTTTTTTAAAGGCCATTTGTGATGTTTGGAGGCTTTTAGCTCCATGCCACTCCAACTGTGACTCTCAGCAGACTCCTGAGCCAAGGAGAGAGCTTGGAGATGAGTAACCACCCTCCTGTAAAGCCCCCAGCAGGGTCTCTTGAAATGGGCACCACGAAAATAAATGGGGACTTTCTTCTGAAGCTGGTTTGCCCAGCAATGGCTCGCTGTCCGCAAGCTCTGTGTGCACACTGTGTGGCGGGCGTTGGGGTAGACAGAGTCAGAGAGGCAAAGGTTAGCAAAAACTGCCCCCAGCACACTCTCACTCTTCCCAGTCAATGTCTCAATCTCTTCAAAGTGCTTTAAGTGCAAAGCGCTACTGCCCCACACTGCCACCATTTAGGAAACCCCAACTGGAGGCCAAGCTGCTTTATGGCAATCAGAGGACAGGGAGATGAAACAGACATTATCTCTCTACTCTCAGGGAAGTTCTAGTCCAGGTGTAGGGCAAGGTTAACAACAAGGACTTTGGAGTCGCACATCTGGGTGGGATCTTAAACAGGTAACTTGATCTCCCTGGTCCCCGATTTTTCCAGCTATAAAATGAGTAACACTTAGCTCATAGGGGTGTTGTAAGGACTGAGTGAGCTCATGTACATAAGCGATCGGTGAACAGTCGCTAATGTTACTGAGTGTCTATGTGACAGGCACAGGAGGGGAAAGATCACCTAGCTCAGGGATTTTAGATTTCCATTTCCTTAAGGATTAGCACACATTCTGGCACATGGTGGCACCCAGGTCCTGTGCTTTCAGTGCATGAAGTGTGAGGCCATTTAGAGAAAGGAGGGCAGGAGGCCTGCCAGGGAGCCCCCCCGGGGACACGGGGAAGGTTCCTGTAGACATTTACATGGAGCTGGGACTGAAGAGTGGGTAGCATTCAAATTGGCAAGAAGGTTAGAACGGCAGCTACGGCAAGAAGCAAGGCGTGATCTCTGTACGACCTTACTAACAGTTCATACATCACTTTACAGTTTATAAGAGTTCTACCTTCAGCACGTCCGTTGAGTCTCACGACCCTATGGCTTGGCCCAATTTGAGCATTCTCCGAAGCTCAGAGAGGGGAGTACCTTGCCCAACGTCACCCAGCTTCTAGGTACTAGAGCACAGACGTGTTTACCCTATGAGCGACCACCTGTTGAGTGTTTCTGTGGGCCGGGAATGGTGCTCTGTGCTCGTCCTACCCTCTCTCCGTCTTAATGCTCACAGCGCCCCTCCGAAGTGAGTACTGTCACCAAATACAAAGAGGCTGGCGTTCAGCTTGGTGCCAGACGCATCAGCTTTGACCTTCCCGCCGGCGGGCGGTGGGCATGAAAGCCCCCACTTACCCTCTTGCTGCTTTCCCCCAACCAGCTGTGTGCACTTCGCATGTGAGGCTGCCGACTGCCCGGAGCTGGCCGTGGAGAACGCGTCTCTTAACTGCTCCAGCAGTGACCGCTACCACGGCGCCCGCTGCACCGTGAGCTGCCGGACGGGCTACGTGCTCCAGATACAGCGGGACGACGAGCTCATTAAGAGCCAGGTGTGTGCAGGTGCTGGGCTCAGAGCCCCTCTCCAGCCCCCAGGGTGGGGGGGTGGCTGGCCTGGAGTGGAGCTTCTCGCACAGTGCTGCCATCCAGCAAAGACGCAATAAATACGTGTTGACAGAACGCATCCACCCATGAGCCTGGAATTTCCAAGACCACGGTTCCCGTGTGAAGCAGTGTCCCACACAGCACGTGGCAGTCTTTGTTGGGGGTTGCAAATGTGGAAAGGCCCACGCGGAGCCCTCGGGAAGGAAACCCTCACAGGCTGAGCTCCGCTGCAGTGGAAGGAGCCGCTTTAGAAAGAGGGGAGCCCTCTGTCAGTGAGGTGCTCACTCATTCACTGTCGTCATAAAACAGATTGCAAAGCATCTGTTCGCCAGGAACCAGATGCCATGGTAGGTGCTAGAGAAAAGAACAAATGTCACTGAGATAAACCCGCGTCCTCCTCCCAAGGAGGACCGTTGCCGGGAATGGGCAGGGAGTGAGTCATGATGATTCCGTGTGATGAACGCCGGTTGAGGCAGGTGCCGGGTGTGGTGGAAGCCCGGGGGGGCTCACCCTGGAAGTGACTCGGAAACGGAGAACCAGACGGATGGATGGGCACAGGGGTATGTCCTGAGGAGGGGCAAGAAACGGGTGCTGGGGGCACAGGCAGAAATGGTATGGGAAGGCCTGTGGCTGAGAAAGAGCATGCCCCAGACAGATCTTTTCCCCTCCCCTGAACTCACCCAAGCAGTGAGGCTGGAGGGGCAGGCAGGGTCTTCCGGTCAAGGCCCAGTTCGCTTGCCCAGGAGGTTTGAGGTTGATCTTTAGGGCCACGGGGAGCTTTTGAAGACAGTGACGTGGTCGGATCGTGGTAGATCAAGGTCCTTCTGGCTGTCCACTTGGGTATGGCATGGCGTCCGGCGGTGAGACCAGCCACGGGAAGAGCCATCACAAGTCATAGGAGTTGCTCATGGACAAGGGCGGTGTCTGGCATGAGGGGCATGGTGGAGTGCTGCTGCAGCCAGACGCTGCTGTGGGGTCTCAGAGTGGGCACTGGGGCAATGAATTCCGAAGATCTGAGGGTTCCAGAGCTTTGCCACTAGATGCAGCCTTTCCTGGGGCCCTGCCAGCAGGCTTCCCCTTCCTGCTGCGGACACACAGGGACACTCCTGTGGTATGGAGCTTCTGGACTGAGACAGTCTCTGTCGAGGCAGCCCCAGAGCCCCCAATTGCTTGTCTTAGACACCGACTTCCTTGTGTCGGACATGGCAGGTCTGAACTCCTGTGGAAACAATTAGGCTGTTTTGGCACAGAGGGACCTCTGCTGCCTTTGATGTGTGCTTAAGAGGGGAAAAATGTCCTTTGCTTTTAAAATCCCGGATCAACATTTGGCATCCCCCGTCCCCTGGGATCTGGCGGCTTCCTCCTTGAACAGCAGGCTGTGGGCTGCCCGTGGCGGTCCCTCCCTTGGCTCTGAAGCCCGGCCTCACCCTTCCACCCTGCACCCCTGCCGTCTTCTCATTCCAGTCCCTGTCGACCCTCTTTGCTTTTCCCAGGCTTGTCCCATCCTCACGTCTACCTCTCTCAACGATCTCAGAGCAGGGAGTGGCTCCTAGAGCAGTCTGGGGTTCAGTGCCAATGCAAGAGCTCAAGGAAGGAAAGGGACTTTTCTGTGGTCTCTAGCACAGAGGACAAACATATCCCCTATCCCAGGGCACTGCCCAGTCGATGCCAAACACTGAAGCGGCTGCCTGTTGCCTCCTGCAGAGCCAGGAAAAGGTATGATGATCAAGCGCCAGTGAACAAATGTTGTGCCATTTTTCGTGGGCCAGTTCATGAAAGAAGTCATCAGGCCCCAGGAGTCTTGAGTCCCGAGATTCTCATCCGCACGATGGGAACGCTGATCTGGGAGGCTCTGCAGGGAGCGTTCAGAGAGCGGCTGTTAGGTTCGGTTCCCACGTACCCTCTTTACAGCCGTGTCACTTGGAGCTAACCAGTGTCTCTGCGCCTCAGCGTCTGCATCTGAAGAATGGGAACCGAGACACCTAATTCATTAAAAGCCAGTTACGGTTCAGCATGGGTTTCCGGGAACCAGGAGGAGACTCCCGAGTGGTTGTGTGGGGTAGAAGAGGTGTCCCCCACATCTGGCGTGCCGTCTGCTTATTATCCCCACCTCTGCCTTCCAGGTGGGACCCAGCGTCACGGTGACCTGCAGTGAGGGCAAGTGGAACAAACAGGTGGCTTGCGAGCCCGTGGACTGCGGCGTCCCGGACCAGCATCACGTCCACGCTGCGTCCTTCTCCTGCCTTCAAGGCACCACCTTTGGCAGCAAATGCTCCTTCCAGTGCCGTCACCCTGCGCAGCTGAAAGGTATGGAGGAGGGCCCTTAGGCTCGGTGGGCCCTGCTTCCTCGGTGGGACACCCGGAGGCTGCTCCCAGGCACTCCCCCAGGTCTCCGACACCCGGGGTTGAGCGGGCTTTTATCTGCCCTTCTGGTTTCCCTCCACCAATGGAGGGAATGCATGTGCACTGTTTTGCTGGGCAGCCAAGGAGAAAGCAGTGTGTGGCTAATACGGCAGTGAATTCTCCTCCAGAGTCCTTGCAGGTCTTACAGAAGAGAGAAGGGAAGGAATGAAGCGGAGGAGGGAGGGAGGAATAAAAAGATTAGAAGAAAGTAGATTTGGAACCGACACGACTGGCTCACTGCATAGGATTAGGGCCCAGTAAGCCTAAGAGATGTGTCTTATTATTACTGCCCTGTTCCCAGGGGAGGACACGAAGCCTCAGAGAGGTTAAAGAACTTGTCCAAGGCCACACTCTCCACAGTAGGATCCACGTGGGGGCCCAGGTGTGTCTGTCACCAAAGCCACTGCTCCTCTTTAGGAGGGAAGAGGAAGTGGGCAGGAAGCCCTTGCTGGAGAGCTCCTGGGCAAGGCCCCAAGGTGTTGGAGTGAGTGAGGCAGACTCAGACATACTGGAGAAGAGGCCGGCCTGGCTAACCGAGGACGTCAGGACCAGAAGGGTTCTCAGAGCTCGTGTCAAATAACTGATTATTTGGAAACATGGGGAAACCAAGGTCCAGTGAGAGAGGAAGGAAGGAACATGGAGAGAATCACAGAGCAAGTTAGTGGTATTTCCAGAAAGAATGCTCTTGGCTTCCAGTCCACGCACCAGGGTTTGACATGACGTGACATGATCTCCAAGTTACGATGGTTCGACTTAACAAGTTTTTGGTGGTGTAGAAAGTGATATGTCTTCAGTAGAAACCCGACTCTGAATTCTGGGCTGCCGATATGTGGTCCAGCACAGCCTCGGGGTGCTGGACGGTGGCCCCTCATAGCAGATACCTACACAGCCATTCTGTCTGCCACTTACAGTAGAGTAGTCCATAAATCCCATGACATATTCCTCTCTTGATTATAACATATGCTTTGCGTGAGACAATTTTGCCCCACTTTGTAGGCTAATGTAAGTGTTCTGAGCACGTTTAAGGTAAGCTGGGCTGAGCTAGGATGCTCAGTAGGTTAGGCATACAAATGCATTTTTGACTTGCAATATTTTCAACTTATGATGGGTTTATTGGGAGGTCACCCCATTATACGTCGAGGAAGATCTGTATACCCTTTTCTCAGAGGTGCCCTCTCCTTTCCTTGTTTTATCAGAGGGACTCTCGTCCCTTTATCAGACACCCCAGATGATATCTCCCTCAAGCAGGGGTCCTTCAGATGGGTCCAGCCACCAAGCAAAGGTCCCACCGTCACTCTATTGTGTGGGAATAGTGGACTCCCATGGGGTGTGCGGGACAGAGGGGAGGTCTATGAATTCTCTTGAACTTAGATATAATATTATGTATTCATGAGTTTCAGGTATTTTGATGATTAGAGAGAGTCAGTCGTTTCCCCAGATTTTCAGGGGGAGACAGAACTCCCAATGATTACTGGACGTGAGTTCCTGGAAGGCAGTGGCTACATCTAATCCATTTTCCCATTGCTGTCAGCAAGCCCAGAATCTGCACTTAATAAGACTCAATAAAGTGTTTTGACTGGATGGCTGGATAAATTGATAAAAGTCATACCACAGGAAATGTTTCTTTTGAGAGATGAATGAAAGACCAAGTTATCTCCTTAAACAACCCCAAAAGAAAAACAGGAAGCACTCATGGGATGCAACCTTTAGGTCCCCTCATTTTTAACCCAGTATGACTTGAATACAGAAGCTATAGACGTTTCAGGTGAGGTACTGTAAAGACGCAGGCTGGGGAGAGGTGAAGAGACAGTGGAAACTGTTTTCCACCTTTCAGGCTTTCCGAGTCCTTCCGTTGGCCCAGATGTGGGGTGTGTTCATGACTCCAGACCAAGTAATCACACTTCTCTTCTCAAGCAGAGACCTCTGGGAAGGAGCAGTGTGTAAATTAGCATTGATTATCACAGACCCCATTGTCGCTAAAGGTGATTCGTTAAAAAAAATAATTATTTATTTTGGAGAGAGAGAGCACATGTATGTGCTCATAAGCTGGGAGAAGGGGCATAGGGAAAGAGAGAGAAAAAAATCTCAAGCAGACTCCACATTGAGTGCAGAGCCAGACACAGGGCTTGAACTCACAACCCCGAGACCATGACCGGAGCCGAAATCAAGGGCTGGACACTTAACTGACTGAGCCACCCAAGTGCCCTGTTAATAATGATTCTTGATCAACGTGATTCAGACCCTTCTGCTGTCCCTTCTCTGCTGACTACGGCGGTGGAAGGGGGGTGACCCGCTGTGGAGACGAGGCCCCAGTGGGATCATCATTTTGATAGCTGTTGGTCCCAACTTTGTTCTTCCCTGGAGAATGCAGAGAAGCCTCATTCCAGGGGCCCCGCTGACCCACTGGGACCCACTGGCATTTTTATTTTTTAATTTTATTATTTATCTGAGAGAGAACGAAAGCAAGAGAGATCACAGAGGCAGAGGGAGAAGCAGACTACCCACCGAGCAGGGAGCCCCATGTGGGGACCTGATCCCAGGCCCCTGGGATCATGACCTGAGCCGAAGGCAGTCGCTCAACCAACGGAGCCACCCAGGCGCCCCCCACTGGCATTTTGTGCACCTTGGTTGTCAGCATCATCCCTCGCTAGACCCCAGCTCTGACGCTTCTCCTCGGGTCTGCAGGCAGTGAGGACTGGGTGAAGGCCCCGCCGGCGCGCTCTTGAGCTTGTTAACGCCCCCCTTCTCAACCCAGGGGTAGAGAGGTAAACAGTACAACTCTTTTCCTCCATTTATTGTTTGCTTTCCTTTCCTCCCTTCATTTCGCTTTTCCTAGCAGCATAATTGAAGCCAAAGAGCACTGTCTTAGAATCCGACAGACTGGGATTCCACCCCTCCTTCTGCCCCAGCTGTTGAGGTTCAAAGAGCTAGTTCATGGCTCTGAGCTTCAGTGCTCTCATCTGTAAAATGGGTGGAGAAGGGCCCACTTTGAAGGGTCAAGATTGAGGCCTGAAAGAGAAGGTATGTGTAAGATTCCAGAACCAGAGAAAGTGCTTAATGAATACTGACCTTCCCCAAGGGGCGCCCTCGTGAGCTGTGCTGCGGCCTCTCTCCCAGCCCTCACCTCCGTCTCATGGAGCCCTTAGTCCTGGGGGCTGTGGAAACACAGCCCCTCCTCGGCACTCTGCCCAGGACCCAGACGCTAAGTGTTGGCAGAGAGGCAGCCAGCACCCAGGACAGGCAGTTACGTGTAGCCCCGGGAACTGGTAGAATGTGGGTAACCCCCCAAAATGACTCCCCCTTCTATTTCTGGCGAATTTTTCTTGAATATCCCTGCTTTCACTTAAATTCTGAGCCCTCTTCAAGATGTATGTAAAATATCCTGCAAACTCAAAGCCTCAGGGTCCCTTCTGCCAGGACCCTTTACCTAGGGAGCACTACCTGCATAGACAGAAGCTACAAAAACAGAGGGAAAATACATTCTCAAGTTCAAGAACAACAACAAAACTTCAAAATCATAAATGTTTAATTAAAAGAATATACCACATTACTTACATCACTCGTCAACCTCAACTCAACTGTGTTGGGTGCACTTGAGGGTGGAGTGGGGCTAAAAGCAAGCGTGCCTTGGAGCACTGGGCTGGCTCATTTGGAAGAGCAGGGGGCTCTCGGTCTTGAGATTGTGAGTTTGAGCCCTGTGGTGGGTGCAGAGATTACTCAAATAAATAAGTAATCTTTAAAAAAAAAATGTAAAGTAAGCACATCTTCCTCCTTCAAAGATCTTTTTAAAAGGCCCACTGTGTGCTTCTGGCTCTTATTGCCTTTTCTGTCTGCTTTGCCTCTCCAACCTCAGATTAAAAACTCAGCCTCTCCACTTGTTTCCAGAGGATGCCCAACACCGGTGGGCATTTCCTGGTTTCTCAGACTTTACCGAAGACAGGAATGTGAGCTGGGGGGACACAGAGAGTGGCCATATCCCACAGTGCCCTGTGGGGAACCTTTGTGCCTGCTCTCAGCTCCTTTCCTCACCCAGCACTTCTCCCTGCAGAACCCTGTTATGACTTTCCTCGCTGCACATTTTCTCTTCTGTTCTTTCTCAGAAGCAGATAGCCAGGCCCTGAAGGTCCCTGAGGCATCTTCCCCACAAAAACAGGGTCATCCCCTAACCCCAACAGAAATTCTCATACAACTCCTAAGAGACTGCTGCTTTCTCCATCTGTCACTCTAGTCTTGGGATGGTGAGGGTCCAGGATGGTCTAGGATGTCACTGGGTCCAGAACACTGCCAAGTGCTGATGAGAGACCACTTATCAGATTATGCCAGGGGACCTGAAGGTCGCAGTAGAGAGGGGACTTGTCCATTGTGAGGCTGCTTTTTGATGTAAGCAGTGCTGAGATGTCATCTCTTAAGTAATTCTTCCTGTCTCTCTCACTCCTGCTCCAATCTTGAGCATTGCTCAGGTTTCGAGAGTCGAATCTGTTCTTACCTGCTATCTCAGAAGCCCTTTAACCTTTCCTAAAGCCTGTCCCTGAACCCAGAACTCCATCAAAGTCTGGAACATCAGAATTGGGAGGAGACCAGGGTCATAAAGATGAATCATTTAATTTCGGGCTGGGGAAACTGAGGCCTGAGAGAGGAAGACATTTACACAAGGATACATAGGAATTACCGTTAGCACTGGGGAAAGGGTGCTTACTCTAGAAATGGCACCCTGTAGCTAGGCATGCCATTCCCGCCAATCTGGTGAAATCATGTATTTGTGTCTCCCATGTGCATTCTCAAGCATCTTCTTCGTGACAGGTGTCCAGTGTTGCAGGCACCTTTCTCTCTCTGCTTGGGAAGGTTTCCATCACTTATCCCTGTCTGTGACTGTATCTGACAACAGCCACTTTCCTTTGAGCCTAAAGTGGAATGACAAATTGGGCCCCTTGGTAAAGAAATTTAGAAGTGATAGGCACCATTCTGGACAGTGGGGAGGGGGTGGAGGTTCTGAAATCTTATTGTATGACCAGTTCTTGATTTCGAGATACTCCACTCATCCAAATTCTCCTGATTCCATGAGACATTCTCTGGCTGTGCTCATGGGAAAAAGTTCCATTGTGGCGTCAAGAGAGCACTTAGGAGTCAGGCAGACCTGGAGGGAGCCCCGACTCTAGATCAAGCAACTCATGTTCCCTCCTAGGGACTCCGTTTTCTCACCTACAAAATGGGGTTAATGACAAATTAGGTTATTAGGAGGGTCAAGATGGCCCTGCCTCCTGGGCTGAATTATAAACAGCTACTGGTAGCCTTCCTTTCAGACACTTAGGGGAGAACTGGACAATTAAATAATCAAAATATAACCCAATTCACCTCAGCTAGAGCTGGGAGAATCCAGTTCAGCTGAGCAAACGACATACTTTCCGGGACTGCCAAGCCCAGCTCGGATTTTCTCTTTGACTCTTTGGTGTCCCGGGAGCCTAGCAGTGTGCTTTCAGGACTAAAATCGGCAGAGGCTTTGCTTGCTTCTCCTGATGACTTCAACTCTTCTGCCTCCGCTTTCCCCTCTGAGTGCTGGGTGAAGGTCCAGTTGGCTATTGTTGGGAAAACAACCATCCTAAAATCCTCCATGGCCTCATTTCCTGCCTCACCTAGCCCAGGACCTTGTACACAAGGACCTCTTTACATGTCCTGTCTTTCTTCCTCTTCCTCTTCTGTAACTTCTGTTAAGGTCTATTTCCCCTCAGGAGCAATGAAATTGAATCTCCTCCCAGTTCTTGCAGTACTAGCCTTTGGCTGATGTAGCCTCCCGAGGGCTTGTGTGTCCACTTCCAGTCCCTCTGGCTGCATCTGTGTTTTCTCAAAACAATGCAGTGGCCAATATTTGTTCACATCATAAGATGTTAGAGCTGCAAGAACTGAAAGACCACTTTGGCTTCAGGCCAGAGAGATTAGGTGACTTGTTCAAGGTCACATGTAGATCTGTAATAGTTCATGCATTTTACAAATGGGTATTAAGGACGTATAGTGTGCTTGGCACTAGGCTAGGTGCTGGCGCTAAAAGAATGAACTTAGTCCATTCCCTGGCCTTAGGATGCAGGCACCGTGTACGAGGTATTAACAGAACCAGACGTTAGGTCTCCTGGCGTTTCTCTCCTTCTAATCTGCCCTTGGTTAATTTCGATCTTAAAGGTACTCCAAAGAGATTCGGTCATCTGGGTAATCTTTTGAATAAAATAATAAAAATAGCCACATCTCTTTGACAGCACATTTACAATTATGTTAATGCTCGTTAGAGACCGGAATTTCTTGAGGCACACTCTTAGACAGGCTGAGCACGATTTATTTTCCTGACTTTAAAAGATGAACAGATGAAGGTTCAGGGTCACGTAACCTTTTGGAACCCCGTCTGTGACATCAGCACTGTTAGCCCCAACCAGAAACCCCAGGCTCAGAAATGTCTGCACCTGTTGCCCAGAGTCTGTTCCCCCAGGAAATTCAGGTAGGGAATGAGGTAGGGCAGCTGGGATGTGACAGAAGCATCCAGAGTCTCTTTGAGAGCCAGGTCCTGCTGTAGGCAAGCAGAGCTCAGTCCCTTTGAGGAGCTATGGGAGACAGGGTAGAATCTTCCTCAGAACTAATGCCACTCCTACAGCACTAAAGCCCCAGCACCGGGAGCTATCCCTATGGGACCACAGCAAAAGGCCTCTGGCATAGGGTTGCAGGTATGGTGACCATCCTTTGGGGAAGAGAGGTCAGTGCCAAGGGGATGAGGGCAGGACATAGATAGCGTGCATCATACCTGGCATTCTTCAAAGCCACATGGTGATTATAAAGTAGTGGCTGCAGCTGGGTCATGGAAATACTTATTCTGTGCAGCGAGGCATCTGCCTCTCTGGGATTTTGTTTGCGGGTAGGGTGAGGGCATGTCCATGGTCCTGAACCGCCAGACGCTCCTTTAGCTTGGTTCTTCTATGGACTGTGGTACACAGCCAGCTCCTACGTACCCTCTCCCAGAATTGACATTCTTGGCTTGCGTTTCCTCTCTCGATGAACATTTCACGATTTTTCTGTTCTCTTGACACCAGAGGACCATGACTTGCACTCCACAATGTATAATTTGCGTAGCTGATGGGGTGTGCTTTCAAGAGTCCTAACAATTTTTCCACTGATATTTTATCCTTCTTGGGGAATTCAGAGAGGGTATGCGCGCTGTATGTTTCATAACTTCTTTCCCCCTCTCCCTCCCTTAGTTTCTCCCATAGCTTTGGCTATGCCTACACACCCCAAAACACTACCCCAATCACAAAAGCAATGCAAAAATCCATTTGAAGTCTCTGGTGTTCTAGAAGCCTCTCTGCTTCTATGGAGCCCAAGTGAATCATCCTCCATTTGACGTAGAAATCTCTGTAGTTTGCAGCATCACTGTTTATCAACACGGAAGCCTCTGTGGGGTTCACAGACACTAGGTTGGCTTGTGTTCACCAGATGGATCACACTGACACAGGAGGAGAAAGAAGACAATGAATGGGGTCAGGGAAGCAAGGAGCCTACAGAGAAGGGAGCAGCACTCCCTGCTTCGTCTCCATCCTGCTGTCTTTGTCTCCGGAGACCCTACTGCCTTCTAGCACACCCAGCGGTGTATTTCTCTGTGCAGTTTCTTCGGTGCCTCCCTAGCATGCTAGAATCGAAGCTCCAAGAGGGCAAGGTCTGGGGGTTTTCTGTTTGTTTCGTTCACCGCCATGTCCCAACATACAAAAGAGCCGCTGGCACATAGCCGGCATGCCTAGATGCTTTTTGGATGATGCTTTTTGGATGATCATTTTACTAACTACGAGGACTTGGTCAGGTCACTTGGCTCTCTGAGTCTCTGCTCCCAAATATGCATCATCTAGCTACGAGCCCACTGTGAGACTAACTCAGATGACATCCCCACGGCACTCAGGACGCATCTCATGTCAGCTTCGCCCCTACCCCTGCACCCTTCCACCTCTCCCTCCTTCCCGTCCCACAGCCTCTCACGTGCATCCAGCCTCACTTGTCAACACCATTCAGTCATAACCGCGGAGAGGAGCGTTGGGTTGAGAAACGCAGGCTTTGGGTCCATCTCTGATTGTCTTGGGGCGGTGTGTGTGGGGGGGTTGGGGCAGGCTGCGCATCGATAATATATGACCTGGCAATGAAAAGCCCCATGCCTCGTGGTTTGCTTTCCTTTGCACTGTCCCCCATCAGGCTAGCTTCCCGGGGGGCAATCAGCACGTCTGCTGCAGCTGGCACAGGCTGCAGGGGAAACGCCGCTCTCTCAGCTGCTCTGGCACAGCTTCACTGAACCCCGGGCTTGCAAAAAAGTATCGAGCCTCCAGATGCCACGGTGCCGTCGCTTCCAGGCACAAGTGGGGCTGGGAGCAATACAGGGGTGTGGGGCGTGGGGAGGAGCGGCTGGCAGCTCCAGGGCGCATGGCACCCTGCTGTCAGAACTCCCAGTCCATTCTGATTGGCGCCTGCTTCGTCAGTTACTAGCCGGTGTGTGTACTTTCCCCTCCGGGCTCGGGCCCCACCTGGCAGAGCCAAGAGGATGGATGAAGGGAGCATGAAGGTCTCTTTCCTATGCGGTAGAAGAGGTTCTAGATCGGGAGTCGGGATCCTGGAATTTTACTTTACTGCTTGTGTGGGGTGAGTTACTCCCCAAGCTGGATCTTCCCTATGTCTCAAAGCCCTCCATCTCCCGGAGGCCCTCAGTTCTAATCTGAAGGGGCTGGAATTCCAAGAGCAAGACCCTCTGGCTTCTCCAGTTTAGTGAAGCTCAGGCAGCCCCCAAGTTAGCTTGGCTGTCCCCACCGCCCCATCTCCTAAACCTGCTTGCCTGTGTCCTCCAGGCAACAACAGCCTCCTGACCTGTATGGAGGACGGCCTGTGGTCCTTCCCGGAAGCCCTGTGTGAGCTCATGTGCCTAGCTCCGCCCCCGGTGCCCAACGCCGACCTCCAGACGGCCCGGTGCCGCGAGAACAAGCACAAGGTGGGCTCTTTCTGCAAGTACAAGTGCAAACCTGGATATCACGTGCCTGGCTCCTCTCGGAAGTCAAAGAAGTAAGTTGGGCTGGACATGCACTCTCACAGGTTCTGCTGGCCAGGAGAGCCAGGTCTGGATGTCTGATTATAAGGAAGCACTCTTTCCTTTTCTTTCTTTCTTTCTTTCTTTCTTTCTTTCTTTCTTTCTTTCTTTTTTTTTTTTTTTTTTGCTGGAGGCAATACCCACTGTTCATCGCATGCTGCCCTATAAGAGTCTATAGGGACATTGTTAGTAACTGCCTACTGGCTGTGTGACCTCAGGCAAGTGACTTCACTTCTCTGGGCCTCTACTTTTCAACGATAAGTTGGGGATGATGATACCAGTACTGTATAGTATTATTGTAAAGAACAAATGACGGTGTGTCTATAAAGTGTTTGCAAAGTGCCTGGCACATAGTAATTGTTCAATAAATGGTAGGTATGATTATCATCATTGTAGTAGCTGCCATGAGAACACTCTAGAAGGAAGGAAAAAGACAAGAGTTTGCCGGAGTTGAGTTTATTTCAGTCCGCATGGAACTAGGAGAATGTCTGAAACTCTTGCTTGCCCCAAGTCAATGAATTTTCTTTAATCTCTACTCATGTCCCTTACCAACAGATAGGGCAGGTAGGGGATCAGGAGTGGGAAAGAGAAATGAGAGGCCAGCTGGCTCAAGAAAACTTTGGGTGTTTGCATAGGGCATGAGTCTAGCCATCTAATCCTTAAGACATCTCTTCTTTGATCTCTTCTTTGAAGACGGGCCTTCAAGACTCAGTGTACCCAAGATGGCAGCTGGCAGGAGGGAGCTTGTGTTCCTGTGACCTGTGACCCACCTCCGCCAAAATTCCATGGGCTCTACCAGTGCACCAATGGCTTCCAGTTCAACAGCGAGTGTCGAATCAAGTGCGAAGACGGTGATGCTGCCCAGGTAAGACTCCTTGAACTTGAGGTCAGTGCTGGGGCCCTCTCCTGTCTGCTTATTGAAGAATAATATCCTTCAGGAGACTCTGCAGATATGACAGCCAGTTGCACCAGTGCAGAAGCTAAGAAACTGGGTTCTGATAATCTTCTTTGGGAATCTCCCTGAGCTTTGTTTTCCTCCCTAAATACCCTATTTTGATTCAGAGATTCTTAGCTTTGCAAAACGGTTAGTGTTAGAACCCTTATGAAGGAAAGTGTATATGGAATCCCATGGTAGGAAAATGACCACAGTTGAGTTACTGTGATAGGAGTGACCAGGGTGGTTTAGCCAACTTCCCACCACCATCAGCTGCGGTTGTCCCTGCAGTGTTTAAAAATGCAAGGTCACCATGTCCTCAAGACATCAGTTGGCTCTGCCAGCATGAAGAAAAGAGGAACCACATTGTGATTAGAAGGATAGAGTCTGGAGAACAGTAGGAAAGTATGGGAGACCAGAAGGAGATAGCAGGGTTTGGATCTTATCTCCATCCCCTGGCATCTGAGAGGAAGTCTGGCACTCCCACCCATTCCTGCTGAAGGAATCCATGACTAAAGTTCTCTTACTCCTTCTAAGACAGGTAGGGAATCTAAAACGGAAAAGGGAAATGATAAATCCACCAGTGGTTCCACGGTGATAAACCAGCCATTTGGGGTTGATAGGCTGAGCCTTATATTTCAGGGGTATGCAAGGACCTTCATCTAGGTGGGGCTGGGGTTCAGCTGTGTGGGACCCAGGGCTGGCTTCACCTGCAGCCGGGCCTCAACTGTCTTTATTAGCCCTGCCAAGGTCAGGCCCTGCCAAACCGCCACCCTTAAGCCCCCTCCACCTGCTCCTCACATGCAAACAATGGTCAAGTTCTACTCATTATGCCTCCAGGATGTCTCCTAGAGCTGTTCTCATCTGTCCCTGGTACTGCCACAGTAACTCAGGCCACTGTCCTCTCTTTACTGAGCTGCGTGCAGTCTTCCGATCACCTCCCTGCTTTTGCTTGGGTGGTCAGTCGGTTAAGCGTCCAGTGGACTCTGCGTTTCAGCCCGAGCCATGTGTTCAGAGCACACATCTTATCACAATTCTCCTGCTTAAAGCTCCTCATGAACCAGTGACCCCTGTCCCCCTGGGGACAAACTCCCAACTCCTTGGGATGGATCCCAGGCCTCCTGTGCAATTGCACACCGTCTCACCTCTGCATTGTCAATGAAAGAGCTCCTCCCCCTTTTGTAACTGCCTCGGTCCTCGTCTTCCTTCCCAGACCAGCCTGGGCACCCATTCCTCCAGGAACCCCCTTTTTTATTGAAAGATGGTTGAAACACGATTCGTTGTAGGTGTACAACACAGTGATCAGACAAGTCTGTCTATATGTCATCCTGTGCCCACCACCCGTGTTGCTACCATCTGTCACCATGCAGTGCTGTCACACTACTGTAGGCTTTCGTCGCCGTGCTGCATCTCTCATCTTTGTGGCTTGTTCACTCCATAACTGGGAGCCTGTACCTCCCACTCCCCTGCACCTGTGTTGCCCATCCTCCCTCCCCTCTGGCAGCCATCATTTTCATGAACTCTTTCTTGAGGTCCCTTCTATGGTTGGGCTCAGTGCCCTTTCCTGAAGTCCCCCACACCCTAGCATGGGCCACACTGCCCTGTAACTCATTTCAGGTGCTCCCTTCCTCAGGCTGTGAAGTGCTTGACCACCTCTTTCATCTGCCCTGAGTTTTCAGCACTTGGGACAGTGCCAGACACCCAGTAGGTGCTCAGGAACGTCAAGCCATGAGAGCTATGGATAACGTCCAAAACAACCTCATTTTCTAAATGAGAAAAACTCACACTCAGAGAAGTCACTCAACCACCCAAGGTGACACAGCTGGTGTCTCCTGAGTCAGAATCCGGATGCTTCCAGCTGTGGACGGACTGAATCCAACAGACACCCCCTGAAAATCCTTAGCCACGCACACTCTTAGATGTCTGCATCCCCAGGTCATTGCCATCCTTGCCTGCCAGGGAAGCAGAAGCCGGTGTCGGGACAAGCAGAGGCCGGAGGTTACCATGGCCTCACACAGGCTGCTCGGCTTCCCTCTTCCTCCCTTACATAAAACTGTTGCTAACAGTTACTCAAACTGCTGAGCCAAATACTATTCTGGCCGCGGTCATGTTATCAAACGAAACCCAGTCTGCCTGGGGCCTGCCAAGTACCTTTCATGGCCAGTTTGTATTTAAAGGAGAGGAAAATGTAAATTTATCAGACGACTCAAGCAGTTCTGTTTGGCAACTGGCGGAGAGGCTAGACGCAAAGGAGCGGGGTATTGCTTGTCGGCTCAAAGAATGAGGGGACGCGTGCCAAATGGGCTCCTAATACAATTGACGTTTCTAGTTTGTACCGAAAATGAATTTCTTCTACCCTCAGACCAGGGGCCTGAGAGCCAAATCTAGTATTCACCTCAGATCCCCTCTCGCTGCCTGTAAACACAGCAGAAATGTACGGCCCAGAGCATCTTGAATTCAACAGCTTGTATGGAGCTGGAATTCTTTGCTTTCCAAACAAGTTCCAGATCCTGGCAGAAGAGGACAGGGACTAGTCTAGGGGAAGTTCATGTACTCCCTCCCACTGCCTCTAAAAGCAAATTGACGAATGAAACCTCCAGTTCATTTGTTCCTTGGGAGCCAGAATGATGCTGGATCTGGACTCTGAGTTCAAATACTGACTTCACCACTTACCAGTGGGAGGACTTGGGCAAGTTGTTTAACCCTTCAAGTTTCAGTTTTCTCATGGTGGGGGATATGCTACTTCCTGCCTCACGGTTTGTCAGGATTAAATAAGGTAATGAAAGTATAGATAGGAGTATGCCTATGAGTAACGCCTGAAATTGTGCAGTATACAACCTGTGCCACCATGCATGGCAGCCCTGGGGAAGAAAGACACAGGTGAACTAGCTTTCCTATAAGGTTACTTCTAGTGGAGAGAATCCCTGATCCTCCACATAGGCTCCTATAGAAATAAAGGCAATGGCTTGAAGGTTATCCCTCTGTTGGTGGGTAGCCTCAGAAAGTTAGAAAAGTAGGCATCTGTCATGTATGAAGCCACAGTGTGGGATGGAGAGACCCGATCTGAACCATAGGGAAACCTGATTTATTGCTCAAGGAAACCTGTACAATACAGGAACTCTCTAGACTAGCAATGCACAGTAGAACTTTCTGTTGGGATGAAAATTGTCCCGATCTGTGCTTTGCAGTATGGTGGCCACTGGCCACATCTGGCTTAGGGAATACTTGAACCATGGCTGGAGCAACCGAGCAACGAGGTTTTAACCCTTTATTTAATTTTAAACAGTTCAAATCTAAATGCAAAGAGCCACACTAATATGGTAGCTACCATACTGGCCAGTTTGGCTCTCGAATTTATAGTGTTAGTATTTCTGTAAACCAAGACACAGAGAACCTGGGTAATAATAGCTTCTTTACTTTTAAAGTGTTTCCGGGATTCCAGGCTGGTGAGCCGGACTTTCTCTCATTTTGACAATTCCCAGCAGACGTTTGAAAAAGAAACCAACATCCCCTTTTCCGAATGAGGGAAGCGGTCTTGGAGCCAACGAGCGGGTGGCGCTGACGGGCACCGCTGACGGGAGAAGTGCCAGTTGCCCTAACATTCAATCCAGCTCAGATGCTCCTGAGCTGTCTGAGGCAGTAACTCAGGCCCAGTTCTATTCGAGAAGCACGGGGCCAGGTGGTATTGGTAGGTGATATGGGAACAGCCATCTTGTGGTTGGGATGGAGTCTGTGGGGGATGCACACATGGGGACTGCAGCAGAGGAAGAGACTAGAGGTGCTTGTGGACGAAGTAATGCTTTTAGCGGCTGGGGATTCCAGCCACTCAGCCAGAGCAAGACAGAAAGGGTGGGAGTGGAGTCAGTAACGCACCCAAGTGAGTGCACGGATTGCACAGGTGGCCATAAAAGCCCTTCTGAAACGAAAAAGCCTTTCTGCCCGTGGCGTGCATCTGGCTCATGCCTTTAGGCGCTCTGCTGCGGATACGGGGAGTCCTCACACGCACGACCCCTCTCCAGGAAGGGGTGACTGCCGGTTGCAGCACCATCAAAGGCTAGAGCCAGTTAGAAACTTGACAGGGGGTGGGCTTGACTGAGGAGATCCCCCACTGCCTCCTACTTGTTTTATAGATGGGACCTCTGGAGCCCAGAGAGGGGAAGAGACTCACCCCAAGTCACACAGCAAGGCACCGGCAGAGTCAGATCTCCACATCTCTGATCTCCTAACCAAGTCATTGCCCACTCCCGATTTTCAGCCATTCCTTCCACATACGTGAAGGCTACATGTCACTTCATATCTTACTTGGAAGACGCAAAGTGCATAAAGGGTACTGCCTGGGAATTAAGTAATTCATAGCAGCAGCGATGTATTGAGCATTTTCTACTTGCCAGTGCCTGGGCTGAGTGCTCTGCACAGACCACTTTATTTCAGCCCCGCAGCATCCGTCTGGCATTACTGCCCCATTCCGTAGAGGTGGAAGCTGAGGTTCCCTGAGTTAAGGTGGTTCGCCCCACGCTATGTAGCCGGGGGTGGGGGACCTGAGATTCCTGTTCCTCCGTTAGCCCGCGTCCAAAGCTTAGCCCTTTATGTCCCGCTCTGAGGCTGCCACGGTCTCTCTGCCATTATTTTGTCTATTTCCATTTCTGCTAAGGAGAAGAAATCTAATTCTCCCTCTACCCGCCTCTCCCCTCCAGTGTAGTAGAGGCACGGAGGCTTAAGGTCAGGAGACACGCCTCTAGCATTGGCCCTCCGCCTGTCGAGGCCATGCTGCCTTCCCAGGCCAGCTGCTGCCGTTTCTAAAATGTGGGTGTTCCTTGAGTGGATTCTAGAGATGCAGGCACGGAGTGGCCTAGCGCCTCCACTGACACTGGGAGAGCCCTCGTGTGTGTTGAGCTCTTACTTATTCGGTCTTCGTGCCGACTCTGCCGGCAGTGCACCCCATGCCCATTTAATCGGGTGAGGAAATTAAAGAACACAGAGAAGTTGAGAAGCCTCCCCAGGGACTCACAGCTAGGAAGTTGCAAGACCAGGATTCGAACCTGTGTAGTTTGGCTCGAGTCTATGCTCCTAACTATTACAGTGGCATCTTTTTTTTTTTTTAAGATTTTATTTATTTATTTGACAGAGAGAGATCACAAGTAGGCAGAGGCAGGCAGAGAGAGAGGGGGAAGCAGGCTCTCCGCTGAGCAGAGAGCCCGATGCGGGCCTAGATCCCAGGACCCTGGGATCATGACCTGAGCCGAAGGCAGAGGCTTAACCCATTGAGCCACCCAGGCACCCCTACACTGGCATCATTTAAAAAACTCACTTGTTCACTTCCCAGCCGAGCCTCAGTTTCTCAGTCTGCCACAAGGGTATGATTTCTATTGTGTTAATCAAAGGGGTTTTAAATGCCTGTAAAACAGTTGGCACATAATGGGTATTTGATAATGGGATTATTGTATGCCGTTAGCACTCTGTGAATCTGTGTGACTAAAGAGAGTTTGAGAGAGTGCACGTGCTTTTTTACAGATGGACTCCCAGGCACAGAGAGGCAGAATATTTTGGTGAGGGATGCTCAGCCCTCTGGAGCGAGATTTCGCCTTAGCATGCAGAACTGTGCGTTCAGAGACACGTGTACCCGGCGGGCTCCTTGCCCAGTGCTCTTGGCTTCTCTCGAATGGCATCCTCAACATCAGGTCTTCGTGGTCACCCTAGGTTAACATCAAGGGTTAATTCTGAGGCTCTGTACTAGCTGGTAGGTAAGCTCCGAGTGCACCAAGATCTAGTCTTAAAGGGGAATTCAGAAATCCAGACAGGCTCTGGAAAGTCTGCTGTGCAGAGGGCACAGCGAGGGCAAAGGTGCGGAGCTGGGAAGCAAGAGAAATGTGCAGGAGAGATGAGCTAATCGAGAGACTAGGAGGAAGGACAGGTGCGTGGCAAGAGACTTGTCATCTGGGCTCCACCGTGGAGGCCCGGGAGGGCCAGGCCACAGGTGTGACTTGTTTGGAAGGTGACGGTGTCTTAGCAGAAGGGTGGCGTACTTGTTTAAAGCAGATTTAATCAGCAGCCGAGAGTGCCTGATGAGCTGGGCAGGAAGGAGAGGGGCTGGAGGCAGCAAGACCAGGCCCTTTACTCCCCTCTTCTCCGGTGGAGCCTTCTACAGTGGATTTGTCTATGGCGAAATTCCCCGAGCAGATTCCAGCTAGTTCTAATACGTTCTCTGCTGCAAACCGAGGTCCCCAGCCAACTCTGGCCCACGTATTGCTGAGGTCTGCAACCCTTCAGGGGCTGGAGGCCAAATGCATCATAGGCCCAGGCCAAGGCTCCAGGAAATTGGGGTCAATTTCCTAGTCCCCCGAGGGCCCAGCAGAATCATGGGGCCTGGGGCCTGGGGCTCCAGAAGGGAGAGTCGCTTCTCTGAAGCCACATGAAGTGGCCTGAACTCTCCCTGAGCTCTCGCAGAACTTCCCGGGGAGGACTGCGTAAGATGTCCCACAGCTTCCCACTCGGGATGGACCACCCTTGTCCGGCCGCCGAGGCTCCCGCCGCAGACGGACAGGCACGCGAGAGGCCCGAAGAGGGCCCCCCTTTCCCTTCGGAACCCTGTCTCCTTGCAGCTGTTTTCTCAGACAGGGCAGCTGCCGCCTGATCCGTTCTGTCGGCGGGCTGATTCACTTCCTCCTGCGTGCACTGGTTCTCCTGGGCCCTTGTCCCCCTGTGTCACCCTCTGCTCACTCATGCGTGTGTCCCCTCACCCACACGTTTGTTTCTGCTCTCACCTACTGAGCAGACTCCTTCCATGACTCCCGGCCTGCTCACCCCGTCTTCTGTCAAGCGGTTCTTGAGGGAACACAAACACCTACCGCGTGATGAGTGAGTGGACCGGGGGGTCGGGACCTGTCATGTGCTGTGGCCCTGAGGATGTGGGGACGAAGGGGGCACTGTCTGGGGCCTTGAGCAGTTCGTCCTCTAGGTGGGAATGGATGGGAAACAGAGAGGCAGGGCGTGTAGAGACCTGACCAGTGCGCCCTGCGGTTAGAGCAGGACTAGGATGGGGTCCTCTGGGCCAGACAGGGGGTCTGGGCCGGGAGGGAACCCAGCAGCCACAAGGAGTGGGTGTGCGGAAGCATGGCGGCAGGCGAGCTCCTAGGGTGCATTTGAGAGTGTAGGTGGTTTAAGCCGACCTTCAAGGTTGGTGGTGGTGCGGTAGGGAGCAAAGCCATGGAGAGGGAGCCAGAGTTCAGGCCCTGCAGGCTCTGGAGGCCAGCCACGGGACTTTGGATGGAAGCTGCGGGGCATGGGAGCCAAGGCATAGATATTCGTCCTAGTGGAGCACAGTCAGCAACTCCTATAGTTTCTCTGCTTATCAAAAGCTTGAAAGAAGGAGAGAATATACAGTTTGTTCTGCAGTGGAGGGGCCCCCGTCCGGATACCGTCCAGGGTTCTCCATTCTCAGGGGGTTGAGTCCAAACTCCATAAGCTGACAGGGAAGGCCCCACCTTGCGTCTGCCCTACCAGCTCCTCCTCCCTTGGTGCGCAAGCCGAGAGTCCCTGGGAAGCTCTCTGCTGCTCACTATACTTCCTTGAATTTGCCCATGCCCTTTGGCCTTCCAGAAAGGTCTTTCTATCCCTGTTCCACCTGTGACTCTATGAATCCTGGAAAACTCTTTTTCCATTTATCACCTCCTCTACAGGGCCTCCCTGCTTGCCCCTGACAACCCATTACTCTCCCGGTGACCTCCCAGCACAGCACTGATCACCGTGCATTGACGTGGCTGGCTGCTCATGTGACTGTCTTTCTCACGGGGGCCCATACTTGACACCTGATACAGCTCACTTGACTTTTGAACCCCACAGAGCCGGGCACAGACTGGGCACCAAGGAATGGTCCTTGGATTCAGGGGCAATTCTAAAGTATCTGCAGAGCGAGACCTCCCATTAGAAACCCAGACTCTGGAAGTAGGCTCAGAATGAGGACTGAGCCTGCACGCTGCATGTGCCTACTGTCTTGCGGAAGATGGAGAAACTGTGTAATGCCTGTTCTAAAAAACTGGTTGGCGGTGGGGGCGGGGGGGAACACCGAGACAGCTCCAAGACCCATGTTCTTACCTACTGTATGAGCTGGGGCGTGTTTGGGTGTGTTTGGTCATCTACCATCTCAGTTAAAAAAAAAAAAAACAAAACACAGAAATCCTTCTGACTGAAATCTCTGAAAGAGCTCAAAGCTAGGGTTCAGGAAACATGGGAGTTAGGCTCCCTGGAGAGCTCTGAGCACGTTTCTTCCTGCCTTGAGTCCTCAGTTTCCCCATCTGCCAAGCAGAAATGTTTTTTGTTTGTTTTTTTAAAGATTTTTATTTATTTATTTGACAGAGAGAGATCACAAGCAGGCAGAGAGGCAGGCAGAGAGAGAGGAGGAAGCAGGCTCCCCGCTGAGCAGAGAGCCCGATGCAGGGCTCGATCCCAGGACCCTGAGACCACGACCTGAGCTGAAGGCAGCGGCTTAACCCACTGAGCCACCCAGGCGCCCCTGCCAAGCAGAAATGTTAACAGTGCCTCTATTTTTGGGTGATTGGGTTTCTACCTAACACTTCCAGGGCTCTGGGGAGATGAATGGTTTCCTCTGTTACTCTGAGGGGCTGATTACGGTGAGGGTGGCAGTCCCTCTGGGTCGTGCTGACTGTTCTTCTGTGGTCTGTGCTGCTCAGGGACACGGGAGCAATATCATCCACTGCCGGAAAGATGGCACCTGGAGTGGCTCCTTCCACATCTGCCAGGAGATGCAAGGCCAGTGCTCGGCCCCGGACCAGCTCAACGGCAACCTCAAACTGCAGTGCCCGGAAGGCTATGCCATAGGTACGGTGGGCGCGTGAGGGCGGCGGGGAGGCACAGGTCCTTCTCGAGCCTGGGGCCAGTGCTTCGCTGGGTGACTGGGCACCACTCCCAATGCCCTGTAGGAGGGAGACAGAGATGAAGGAGACTAGGTCCTGCGCTCCCAGAAAGAGAGTTGAGGGTACATTTGGAGAAGAACAGTCGGGGAGTGTGGAGAGTCCTACTGGAGCACAGAAGAGCTGACCGCTGTGTCGGGGGACCCAGAAGGCTCCCAGGGGAAGGGACGCTTCTATAGGGATTGGAAAGAGCTTGTTGGGCAGGAGATGGGCTTCTGGACAAGGAACCATGCAGCGTGGAGGGGAGGAGCTGGAGAAGCACACACACCCTGTGTCAGAAAGCAGTGGTGGTCCCCGGTTAATCTTAAATTGAGCGTCATACTAATCCTTCTGAGTACCTACAGCGGGTTAGGTCCTGCAGCCAGCCCTTGAGAGGCACCTTCTCATATCTGCTCAACGACCTATGACAGATGAGGAGATGGGCATGTGAAGGGATAACAGAGCCTCCCCGAAGCCAGACAACTCTCTTACTCTGGAGTCCCAGTTCTTCCCCTGGCATCTCAGTGGCCTCCCACTGGGAGGATAAAGAATATGTTGGGAATGCTATTTGTGTGACGATAGGCTAGCTCACAGTGAGGGGAGACAACCTGGGGTTTGATGCCAGGGATTTGCCTGGTTGAAACCAGGCATCTGGACAGAGGCATTAATCACAGGCTCGAGGCTTTCTGGGGGAACTGGGCGTTCATTGAGTCTGACCTCGGTGGAGGGCAGTGGTGCTGACCTCTTGGGCTGATTCCCTAATTGACCATGATGAAAAGCCCAGGGAATTGGATGTTCTTTCTCATGGCCGGCGTGATTTATGGGATAATCACCAGGGATGTCTGGAGCAGGAGGTTATCACGCACGCACTCACTCCCAGTCACATGAAGCCAACAAGTTCTGCCTCCAGCAAAATGGGAGCTGTCACTTCTTGTCCAGAAGCAAGGCCTGTGTTTGGGGAGGGGAGGTGCGTGGGGCCCCTGACCACCTCCTTTCAAAGACGGAAACATAGAGCCTGAGAGCGCATGTGTGTTCTTCACCTTAAAAGCAGACTAGGAATCAGTGCTCCTGCGTTGAGCCCAGAGCACCAGCTCCCATGTGGGTGAGAAAAACCTCCAAGTGCAAGGTTGCTCTCTCTGATGATTCAGAAGGGACTTTAGGTTCCTATAGAGCCACCATCCAAGGGTCCTGGCCAGGATGTTTGCAGAGAGGGGGTATCTTGTGTGATCTGTCAATATAGGCATTCTAGAAGTTTGGGGCAACAGGTGTAGCAATGGTCAGTAACACTGGCTGCTCTATCCCAAAGCCAGTGCTTTCTTCTGCCATCATTCCTGACAGGTGGTTCTAGACGCTTACGTCTGTGATAGGGTCCCTGCCCCCAACTCAACCAGGATACACAAGTGAATTTTCAGTTACACTCATGACTGGTATTAAGTGTTCCTGGGAGGGAAAATTTTGATTAAGTGACTTCTGTTTAAAAGAAAAAAACTTTTAGAAACAGACTTCCTGCCTGTCTACCTCCACGGATACACTCAAATATATTCACACATGCAAAAATAAACACAAGCACAAATGTTTAATAACCAAACAGACCCAAATACACGCAGCATAAACTCATGCCTCGCACGTACACATCAGCCAAATACTGCACAAACACATCACCTAACACACACACACACACACACCCGTGTGACATAGAGTCACACACGTCACAAGCACAGATGCATCTGAGGCCCTGAAACATGTTACATAGGCAGGAAGGTGCCCAGATACACTATGGGGCCCCCCGGTGCGTAGCCGCCCTCACAGTCTCGCCGCACACGGCCCTGCTCTCCGCTCGCCCAGCAAGACAGAGGCACACGTATGGCCATAGCATCCCTTTGCCCACCGAGCTTTCTCGCAGTCAAGCAGAAAGGGAAAGAAGTCAGTACGACACAGGAGCCTCGATGTCCTTCCCTTCCCTGTGCCCATGTCCCATTGCCAGACAGATGTCCCTCTTATGAATATGGCGATCCGTGCATGGTGGCGGGCCAATGGGGAAGGGGGCAAAGGTGGTTGCTGAGAGGGAAAAGGCACTGTGGGACACTGGGAGGGAAGGAGGGGAAACAGGTTTCCCTCCTGACCTCCAGGTCCCTCCCCTTCGTCACCTCCAAAGACCCCTAGATCAGAAGCCCAGGCTGGGCCTTCCCTGTGCACAGCCCCCCTCACCAAGGAGGGGATTTGCTCCAAGGCCTTATAATCGGGGTGAAGTCCCTTCATGTGGGCTCAGGGGCTGGAGGACACATTCTGGAGCCGCCTAGAGCAGTCCCCTGTGGGCTCCTTCCCCGGGCAGCACAGGCCAGCTTCTGTGGCAACCAAGAGCACTCAGAAAGTTGCTACTGCCCCCTCCCCACCCCCGGGGCTGCCACCCTCCCTCCTTCTCCCAGGGAAGGAGAGGCAGGGGCCCGGTGAGATCACCCTCTGTAATGATGCCAGTTCCTGCTCATATATCACAACAGGGCAGCCTGGTCCTAAAGCCCCAGCCCTGTGTGTGGGGGGGGGGTGGGGGGAGAGTGCAGGGGTGGGAGCTGCAGGGAAGGGGAAGGGGGGACGGGAATGCTGCTGAGCAGACCAGGGATGGCCTCCTGCGTTGACCATATTTTCCCCTTTGTTCCTCTCCTGGGAGAAGAGAGCCTTTGGTTTTTCCTCACAGGCTACCTCCTGCTTTTGCAAAAGAGGATTTTATCATCACAGCCTTGTTTCTACCTCGCTCCCTAAATACTCCTTTAGAACTGATCTCATGATAAACACGCAGCACTGACTTTCTCCAGCTGCTTCGTGACTCCCCCCGCCTTATTCCCATCACTCATCTTTTTGGTGTTTTTGCAGTCCTCCCCACCCCTGCCGCCTCATTTCTTTTCCTTCCTCTGTCTTCCTTTCCCTTTCCTCTGTTGGGCTCCCCTGTATCCACTGCCGGGCTCAGAAGGCAGAGGGACGTGGGTTTTAATTCATGGGGCCCTAGTCGCCTGCTTTGTAGCCTGAGTTCCGTGCACATCTCTAACCTGAGACATGGGTGTGATGACAACCTGTCACACAGAGCAGGTTAGTCAGGAGAATGAGTGACATATGAAAACCACCTGCAGGGCGAGGGGTCTGGCCCCCACCTTCTGGGCTCGAGGGCCCTGTGTTTAAAGTGAAGAGGTTTTAAACACTGTCCTAGGCCTGCCACTCCACCCTCGTCCCCTCTTCAGTCCTGGTGAGTCTCTCAGAGACCAAGATGGCAATAAGCAGGGCCCTCGTAGATAGACAGTATATGTGTGTGTGTGGGGGGGGTGGATATACACACAGACATCACACACACACACACGCACACATACGTGCACCTGGAAGGGAGCCTTTGAATGGCTACTGGAATCAAGTTGGCTGTCTCTTGGGATTCACTTCGTGTTCAGGGGTGGTCCTGGCCTTAAGACAAGGGAAAGGCCTCCTTAGGGCCTTGGTCAGATTCTGCCACATCCGTCCTTTGCCCACAGGAATGAGCATGGCACTGACTTCACAGTGTGTGAGAGCATGGTGGAGAATGAATGCACCAAATTACAGTCGACTTGCCGGCCCACAGCTTAAAGCCCGTCGTGCTTCATCAAGCGCCTCAGTGTACCCGCCTGTCCCCGCTTATCATCAATGCCTTTGTTCTTTCATTTCTGTATCCAAGATGCAGTGTTGTATTCATTCACTCCCCCGTCGGGGTACGCATGTCCTTTTGCACAATCACCCACCCCTCGGACCCTTGTCCACAGATGCATTTGCTCGCTCCCTGTCTCCCTCCCTCGTTTCACAGATGCTTGCTGCCCTGCATGGTGCCAGGCTCTGGGTGGAGAATGGGGAGCACAGAGAGGGCTGGCTTCTGGAGTTTACAGTCTGGCAGGGAAGAGAGCCACCGATACAACCATTCCTCAGCCCTGTGGGAAGGGGCTAGTGCCTGTGAGAGGGCCTGGTCTATCAGGAAAGCAGGGAGGGCTCCGCGGAGCAGGCACTTGGCAGGACTTGGCTGGAGGTCTGAGGAGGCCTTAGTTGAAGAGGAGTAGGAAGGGCCTAAAAGCACCAGGGAGGCATGTGTGCAGGCGCCGCACAAGCAGGAAGTGAGGGGCTGGGGGGCTGATGCTTCCTGCACCGTCCCTGCGTGTCAGGCACCGGGCCAGGCTCACAAATGAGTCCCCCTCATCCCTGTCCATCTGGGGCATCCCTGTAACCGTGGGAAGGCAGGCACAGGGAGGACGTAAGGCCAGCACCGAGAGACTCATCGTTGCTGAACACTGCTCTCACTCAGGCGCAAAGATCAGGGCAGGCTTCTTGGAAGATGTGAACTGGGCCATGAAGAACTGATAGGATTTGACCTTGAGAAGGCAGATGGGGGTGATTCTGGGGAAGGGGTGAATGGGAGCAGAAACAGAGGAAAGGGGTTGTGGGACTCAGGTGGCAAACCTGTGGCAATCTGGCTGGACCACCCAAAGCGTGAAGATGGTTAATGGGAGATGAAACTGACTAGACCATGGCAGCCCATGCATGCTGGGCAAAGGGGATTACATTCTGTCCTGCCTTCGGGGAACCTTAGAAATGTTCTCAAGCAGAGGAGGGGCGTGACCAAAAGGGGCTCACGGCCGACGAACATGGTGATGGGTGCAGCCTAGACTGGAGACCAGAACAGAGACAGAGAGACCAAAGGCTGCCCCTTTGGGAGTTTGCTTCTTTCCACTGTCCTCAAGGCCAGGGTGGCCTGGCCCACAGGGAACCAGGAGCAGGAGGACCCATACTGAGAGAGAGCAGCCCATGGGCATCAGGGGATTGTGGGCTGAGCTATGGCCTCACACTGTGCTTGCCCTCAGGGTCGGAGTGTGTCACCTCGTGCCTGGACCACAACAGCGAGTCCATCATCCTGCCAGTGAACGTGACCGTACGGGACATCCCGCACTGGCTGAACCCCACACGGGTAGAGGTGAGTGACAGGGCCGACCCTCGTGGCTCGGGGAGGGAAATGACCCCCTTGGACATTTACTATGCCCTGGTCCTGAATTCGTCCTTTCGCACATGATGCGAGTCATGAGTCACCGACTCATAACACCTATTCTGGGGGTGGGGGGCGCTCTGTTCACGATCATTTCTCCAGGCCTCCAGCATGTCTCACTTCCCCTTGACCAGGCCTGTGCAAAGGACCTTTTATTTACTGTCCCACTGAATCCTGATGGCAGGCTAGGAATAAGAGGACTGTTGTCCCCAGTTTAGAGGTGAGGGCACCGAGGCACCAAGAACACACAGAAAAACCTGTCTGTCTGACCGGGTCACAAACCCCTGTCTGTCTGACCGGGCCTGTATCTGTGAGTATAGTGCAATCTGGCTTCTCCAGACAAGCTCTTAGAAGGCTTCCGCGTGCTATGGCCTAGATTTCTGGTATCCTTCTCCCTGCTTTACTTGTTTGATGGAAAGCAACTAATAGTGATGTGGGGAACTCGTAACACCCATTGCTTAGGAAGCACCACTGTGTTCCTGTGCCCAGCACTCAACACACAAGATAGTATTTAAGCCCCAGAATTATTGTACGGAGCAAGGGGCATCGCCTGCAGTCCCTGCTTGGGGACACGGAAATCTTAGGAGTGAGCGACGGGCCCCAGTGCGAAGGCTCAGGCCCAAGCCTGAGTCCAAAGGCAGTGCTCCTCCCACAGTGTCAACACCGGCATGGCCCTGTCCAGAGGCCTTGTAGGCTCTGCCTCTCAGCATCTGCTGTCCTTGCCCAGGTCCAGCTGGGGGCTGGCCACTCCCGCAGGTCTACATGTCACCTGGTCCATCCATGACCCTGTAGGTGAAGCAGAACCCCACTCTTGCCCTCAAGGGCAGTGTGGACCCCGGGCCTCATGTACCCATTCTGGGCACTGGCTCAACCTGGAGAAAGTGAAAGAGGGAAGCAGGGCATGCAGGGCACTGTTCAGCGATGTCTCTGTCGGCAAGCCTTTCTGCCTGGGGTGCGGGGGGGCCTCGCTGTCTGCCCTCCTGCTGCAGATCTCACTCTGGATAGCCAGGCAGAACCCGATACGAGGTGTACTGTTTCTCAAATGAGCTGAGGGCATGATTGCGAGGGCTTACTCAGCACTGGCCCATGGCGCTGGCGCTGGCCTTGGACACCCACTCCGCTCCCCTGTGCACCCCAGCATTCTTCTTCTTCCCTCCTCTCCCCTTCCTCCTTCTCCCCGACTGTTCTCTGCCCCATCTACCACTCGAGCCCCTGTTGCCTGCTTCTGTCTCCACTGTTTCTCTGTCCCCTCTCTTAAGACCCCGATCACCTTGTTCCACATCCCGCCCATCCATACTCTTTCCCCTCTGTCTGCCCCTGACTCTCCCGTGCATTCCCTAGACAGCGCTTTTTCTCCAACCTCCTGCTCCTCGTCTGTTTCTGCCTTTGGCGCGCCTTACACCACTGCTAACCCAGAGACCCACACAGATTCTCACTGAATAACCCCGGCGAATGCTGGCATGCTGTCCACACCCAGGGGCACATACAGACCCCATGTCAGAAGCTCAAGGAAGTTGGAGATCAGTATAAGCCCCTTATTGTACAGGCAGAGAAACTGAGGAGCGGCGAGGGAGGGGGTTAGGCCAGGATCGCCCAGGAAGCAGAGCCAGGACTGTGCCACGCCGCGGCTCCATTCCCCTCCCTCTCCCCTGCCCTGCTTCCATATACCCGAAGGCAGGGGAATCACACTCCTACACAGGGCAGACACAGGAGACCTCCCTCATACCCCAGTACCGGAGGTCTTCTCCGCCTGGGACTCAGACCAGTTTCCCCTGGCCCAGCTCCCACTCAGGCCTTTTCTCTGCCCCCTTGGGTGCATTCCTGCCCTTCCCTCTGTGAGCCCCGGGCACTAAAGAGTTCAGTTATAATTCACTGTGAAATAAATCCAGGGATTGGAAAGCCCGTGAGCCCCCCTTCCCCAGTTGCCCACCCGCCGCCTGCCCGTCCCAGCCCCCACCCAGTTCCCTGGTCTGCCGACCCTTTATTGATGCCGGCCTACGGAGAGAGCCATAACGAGGTTCAGACCTCCACCGGTCTCCGGAGGCCTCATTATCCAGGAGGAAAAAAATGTGGTAGAAACAGGGAGGAGGGTGAAGGGCAGAGATTGATGATTTCCAGGAATAAGGCAGAAAAGCTGTTCTCTGCTGCACCCTTGCCCCCTTGGGTGGTGAGAGCTAGGCAGAAACAGAGCCCCTAGAGCAGGCGCCGCCAGGCCAGGCCAGAGCAGAGGCCTGGGGTCGGGCGGGGGCGGGGGAGTCCCGTGTTCTTAGGCCTGCCTCCCACCGGGGCCAGGCGCAGGGGTGGGAAGGCGCAGGGGTGGGAAGGCACAGGGGTGGGGGTTGGCTGGGCTCCAGCTCCCCTTACCTTTGTCCCCAGGGAAGGAAGTCCGGGGCCAGAGCTGACATTTCCTGGATGCCGCCTGTGAATCTGACACTGGGTCATGCTTCCTGCACACACACACACCCCACACCCCGTGAGTGGGTTTCAGTCTCTCCCCGGTTTACAGGGGAGGAAGTGGAACCTCAGCGAGGGGAGCCCCTTGCCTGAGAAGAAGTGAAGGGAGCCACTGGGCAGTCTCATGGGCAGCTGTTCCCAGCTGCCTGTGCAGTTTCTGCTGGACGTAGGACAATAATAATAAAAACCAACTGTTTACTGACCGCTTACCAGGGAACATGCTGTGGGATAGTTCACCGCAGGCTCTCTGCGCTGCCCCCTGCACCCCCTCCCGAACCCACCCCCAGAAAACAGCCACCATCTAGAACTCTAACTTGTAGCATTTGCCAATTACCGTGGTATCAATATTCCCCCCCATGGCAGATGTCCAGGTTCCCACACACAGCTGGGACAGGGCAGGCACCGCTGCCTCTCCTGGGCCCACGAGAGCGGCCAAAGCCCACAGTGGCACATGTCACACGACAGCCTCTATTTTAAGTACTTTGCATACATCGGCCTATGTAATGAGAACAACGCCTACTTAGATGAGTGGGAGATGGACACTGAGATCACGTGCCGTGATGAGCGCACCACGATGGTGACTTTTGCACAGGCAGGCCCACGGTCCTCTTACCACGGTGCTCCCTTTCATGCTTAGCTCGTGGTGGGTGCTCGCCAGATACTTAGGGCTGCGGGGTCAAGTGACCAAGGCTCTCATTCAAGCTCAGGCGTGTTCTTGCTGTCTGTCCCTGGGCAAATCCTATCACTGCTATAAGCTGCAGTTTGCCTGTCTGTGGAAGGAGAGATAGGCCTGGATCAAGAGTCCCAGAGTCGGATACCCACGGGAACCGGGCTGGTGGGATAAGTGGGTGAAGCAGGCCTGGGGTGTCATTCTGTATGTCACACACCTAGGCATATTATTAATAATAGTAGCAGGATTTACTAGACCTATTTCAGACACTTAAAATACAAACACCCATGCGTGTTATAATACAAACACCCAACTTAAGAAATGACTCTCTAAATTTTCTTCTTACTGAGACTTAATGCTCATGCTGATCTTACGTGTAAGGTTTGATCAGTGTTTATGTTTGTGGCCACTCCTGAAACCACTCCCCAGGTTGGGATCTCTGGCTCCCCAGAGGTCATTCCCTCCCGATGCCAGGCAATGGTTGTGCCCCCAAGATCATGTCTACTGGGTTGGCTTATTTTTTTTTTTATTGAGGTATAATTGACATATAAAATTATATTAGTTTCAGGTGTACTAAAATTTTTAGGCTTAATTTCATAAAGAAAAACACTGTCCCTTTATTTTTTTTAAAGTTCTCCCCTTTGAAAGCGCCCACTCCCCCAACCCCCATCGCCCCACATGCACTGCTGGGAGCAATAGGGACACGGAGAAATCTTCCTCACATCTCATAAAGGATATGATACAAACTCAGTGACAGATGGCAATATCTCTTGGGCTCCGTGCTGGAGAGACTGAAGGGGAAGGTGGAGACAGTGGTGAACTCTGGGAAGCACATCCTGCTTCCCAAGAGGGCAGCTCAAGCCACATGTGGCAGTGTGGAAATGTGTGCTTAGTATGGCTAGAGTCCCCACTTTGTCTTGAATATAAGAAATCTGGAGTCTTTAAAATATAAAATCTCTAGCTTTTTTAAAATATTGGCAAATAATTTTGACGTCTGTCAAGCACACTGTGTGCCAGACTGAACATTTCTGTGGGTTGTGTAGCCTGGAAGCTGTTGGCTTGCAACCTTTGAATGAGGCAGACTCCTAGCCCCAGCATCTGGAATTCAGGGGAGCAGCCTCTCCGTCACCAGCTCCAAGGGAGTACCCCAGTCTCCCCTGTATCTCAACTTGTTCATGGCAAAAGCAGCTCGCGGCCTCAGAGGCTTATGATTCCTCTAGGCATCTGGGACCTTGGATTTTATAATGGCTTCTGGGAAGAGGATGGAAGGAGGGAGGAAAGAGAGGAGAAGAAGAAGGAGGGGAGGGAGGTACTTAAGGGGGGAAAAAAAGGAAGTAACCATTTACTGAGTACCTATGATATGTGGGCACCAATAGGCAGGTCCACATGCCACCTCACTTTTTCTCTACCATACTCCAGTGAGATCAACAGTATCACTATTTTATACACGAAGAAGCTGAAGTTCTCACTGGGTGTTCACTGCCCAGTTCATGTAGCTAATACATCTGAAGCAGAATTTGAACCCAGGGCTAATTCTCCTGCATTTCATCTTGCAAGGTAACCACCTTCTATATTATAAATCATAATGCGACACTTGCAGACAAAGGGTGCAGAATTCATTCCTTGAAAGGAAGGTCGCCCCGTGGAATGCCCTGTCAAGGGTCTGGAGTCAGAGGTAGAAGGGTTCTGAGTGAGCATGGAGTCCAGTCTATCCGAGGTATAGAGGCGAGACAGCGTGTGCCCTGCAGGTGAAGCCCAGGCCGGAGAGATGGGTCCAGAAGCCAGTGATCTCTCATTCACTCATTTGGTCACTGGTTCATTCACTCACTCAGAAACACTGATGAGGTCCTTCTAAATGGCAGGCATTCTTCAAGCACAAGGCATTCAGGGTGAAGAGTGCCTGGGCTTTTAAAGAAAGCCTGAAGCTCTGTACATGATAATGAATGGCAAACATAAGTTAAATGATATCATTCATTCACCGAAAGCCCTACACATCAAGGGGAGAATTAAGGAGAAAAGAGGGCTCATCGTAGACGGTATCTGAAGGGGTGTCCAATCTGAGCCTTAGGTTGGGGAGGCTCTCTTATGATGCTTTCTCACATGTCTTAAACTCTGCCTGGGACCCCATCTTCCCTGGGATTCATCCTGGAATCTTGGAGACACTCTGCCCACCCCCAGCCCCCTGCCTACTTTCCTCTGAAAGCCCTTTCACCTTCCTGAGCCTTGGTCTTTCCGTCAGGCCAAAGAGTAAACTATTTTATATTTATAGTTTTGGGGGCTAGGGGAATGTGAAGGAGAGCGTAGGGTTTAAATACAGATCTGGTAATCAGAGAGCTGCGGGCCTACTTCCCGACGGTCCTTGCCTATGTGTATGGCTTAGAGCAGGTTGGTCAATGCTCTGCGGTCCGCTTCCTCCCATGTAGCCCAGACTCAAAAATAGTACCTCTCCTGTAGTTAGGGTAAGAATTAAATAAAGATCTGAGGACAGGGCGTGTGCGGATGAGGATGAGGATAATGATGACAGGGTTGGTAACGGTGCTGTGGTGGTGACGGACATGATGGTGGTAGGGATGACGATGCTGAAGGTCACTGCAGCCAGGAGGAAAGGACAATGGATTCTTCTTGGGCACCGCGGCAGGAAACGAAAGCCGCCTTACAAAACCTGGGCTGAAAGCACTCTCACTGCGCTAGAGGTCTCCCTGGCACCCGAAGGAACAAGGCTGACATTGGAGAGCCCCCACCGGGGATCTCCCAACCTGCGGTGTAAACAGCCTAGCTTTCCCTTCAGCTCTCGCTGCTTGCCCCCTTCCAGTTCTGCTCACATACAGAGGGGCCCTGTAGTGAGACAGGTAGGGCGTGCAGCCCTAAGGAATAGTGGAAAATCCAAAAGCCTTGGAAAGATAAACAGGCTCATGCAGATAGTATAAAAGTCCTTTCTCTGAGCTCACGTCAGGTAAACCTCAGCTGACAGAACCTTGTGCAGCCACACCACAACACTCCTACAGGTGGATTAAATTAGCTCTCTCGGATAAACAGGGGGAGGGATGGGCATCAACTCCCTTGTGGATCCCGACCCTGTTGTTTTCTATTACTTGAGCCATTACCAAGGGCCCCTCCAGCACCCCTGGGTTTTGGCTGGGGACAGACTCTCAGACCCAGAGATGAAATCCTGGGTCAGGTCTCACAGAGGATGAAAGCAGGTGATTCTCTCCACCTGTGGCCCTGTGGCTGGGAAGCAGAGGGCACCAGAGTAGCTAAGCTGGAAGAAAGGAGCACCGGAAGCCACTCACACTCCTTCATCTGGTCAACATGTACTTGTTTGCTCTGCTCCAGTCCGGGTCCTGGGGAGACACAGAAATGTGTCAAACCCAGGTCCTCAGTTAATCAGTCCCGTACCATTTATCTCCGTGGATCATCGCGACAAGGTGATTTTCAGGGCCCATTTCACAGACAGGAGACTGTCTGTGGTAGATCTTCAGACTGGGTGGTAGATCTTCAGCTTAGGTTGTTTAAGACTCTAATTCTGCCTATGCTAAACCGGTCTTCTAGACACTATGCTAGGCATGGTAAGGGCTCTTCTGATGTTCTAGAACAGAGAAAAACAAGTAAAGAAAACCCTGCCCATTGATAAAAAATCATCTCTATTTTGAGATGTCTCCATTCATTTAGAACAAGAACATCTGTGAGGCATCCTCCATGTGCCAGATGCCATTCTAGGCGTGGAATGATCCAAGGGTGAACCACGGATGCTGTGCGGCAGAAAAGAAAGGCACCAACCCATCTTAGCCCGCTCTTGGAGTCACGTGATTCCCTTTGTTCCAAGCTCGCCAAGAAACTTAATTATGGTGGGGCTCCCATACAGGTCCGCCTTCGGGGAGAAACTGTGTTGGTCATGTGATTTTCCATATTCTGACCCATATGACTGTTCATTTCTTAATGAAAGTTAATCAGTTGGCAGTCATCCAGGAGAGCAAGACCTGATCACATAGACCTCTACGGCTGGTCCCTGACACTAACCTCTCATTGCAGATCCAAGCATTTGCCTCCAGGTTGTTTTCATTTTATTTTTTAAAGAAATCATTATAATTTTGGCATGAAATGTAAGACATAGAGAAAGGAGCTTCTGGGAACATCATGTTAGCCCCATTCCTGATGCTATGTACCTTCCTAGTTTCATCTTTCTCTTTTTGCCTCCTTTAAAAATTATCCTCATGTTGGATTTTATGTTATGAGCCTCCTTAAATAATTTCTAAAATTAGTGCTCGGTCTCGAGTCCTGGTTTCTTCAGTAAACAGCTATGGAGCCTGGGGTATTCATTCTCCATATAACCCAAGATTCATGCCCAACTCACTGCATGGTAACAAGGAATAAATAAGATAATGCATAAAGAAGTTAGCACCACAAATGAACTCAATATATTTTGATTGTCATTATCATAGTAACAATTATTAAAGGAGGTTATAAATAAATACGTACATGCAAACCTAGATGCTCCAAGGGGGGTTGGGGAAGGCACCACAGGGGAAGGAAGTCATGAGCAGCCGAGCAAAAGAGAACTAAATGTTATCCAGGAGACAAGATGGGCAAGGGCATTTCAGTGAAGAACAGGAAGGACAAGGTCACAGAGGTATGGCAGTGTGGACAGTGTCAGGGAACTTGGAGTGGCCCATAGGGCATGTTGGCAGGTGGAGGCAAGAAAGGTTCTCTGTGTCTCCAAGGGTTCTGAACCAGGCCACTGCTCTCACACTGTAGTGCATATCAGAGTCATCTGGCAGGCTTGTACTGCAGAGTCCCAGGCCCTGGCCTCAGAGATTTGGATGCATTAGATAAGGTGGCTCTGAAGTATAGTATGTGCCTTCCTCATGAGCTCCCACAGGGACCCCGATGAACATGGTCCTCAGCACATGTGTAGGGAAACCCCACTCCACACTATTCTCCCTTCTCCCTGCCGCAGCCTTATGTATCCTCCGCCTTTCCTCCTCCTTCCCACCTTGTTCCTAACTCCACCCATGGATCAAACATCAGCCAAGAATTTCCTGAAGGGCCTTTCTGACCGCGTCTTCATCCCCCAGTTCTGCTTTTCTTCAGCCCTCATACCTGCCAGGGAGATACAGGATCATACCTACAGCAAACACAAATACTTTTGTAATCTTATGGCTCCTGTTACTGCAAGTACAATCATCCATGGGCAAATTATCCATGTAAATGCCAGGGTGAAGACAGGACTTGGAAGATCCAAGAAGACGTGGGGTGGTTGCATGGGGTGCCAACAACGAGATGGCTTCCTCCCAGCCCCAAACCCATCTGACTGCTCTCTCCCTCTCTCTGCAGAGAGTTGTCTGCACAGCTGGTCTCAAGTGGTATCCTCACCCCGCCCTGATTCACTGCGTCAAAGGCTGTGAGGTGAGTCCCTAGAAGTGATCACTGGTCTTACATTGATCATGGCTTCCATTCGCTTTGCCTACAAAGTGCTGTGAATATCCCTTTAATAGGCTGATTGAGCAATCCCATTTTATAGATGGGGGAATTGAGGCACGGAGATATCAACAAACATACTCAAAAATACATTTCATGGATAACAAAAGTAGGATTCCAAGGCATTCCTGCTCCCTCAGCTTATGTTCAACATGAACATAAGCCTCTGGGAAGGAGGGAGGGAGGCCATTCTGATTTTGCATCTATAACATACCAGGCATTTGACCCAAATGATAAGATTTTAATGTTTAAAGAACCACAGGAGGCTTTTCTTCCCCCCCTTTCCAGTTCCTACTTTACTGCTGACCATTACTTGCAGGTCACTTCCTTTTGCCACACATTTGTCATTCACTCATTCTTCAACCCCAGAAGCAGTATGGATACCTTAGACCCTACCACAGAGCCGAACGGGAAGATCCTCTCTGACTTCACAGTTGAACCTTTCCCTGGCGCTTGGCTTTATGGAGATCTGTCTCTGTGTCTCAGTGACCAGCCTGGGAAGGCACAGGGGCAGAGTACTTAGAAAGTCATCTGTATTCTCAAGGGGTCACACTGCCTCTGGAACTAGGAGATACTCTGTGCACCCCAAGTCCCTCGTGGGTCTTCTCATCTGGCAATGAAAAGGAGGCCCCAAATCACATCCAGGTGGAGGCGCAAATATCTGTGGTCCACTCCCTGCTCCAGAGCCCACTCAGGAAAATGCAGGTGAAAGGGACTAGTTTGTACTCTAGAAAACTCTGTATTTGATGAAATTCTTGGAATGTCAGAGTCAGAAATGCTCTTCTAGATGATCTAAACCTGACTTTTTAAAGGTGTAGCCAGATCTGAAATTTGATGGAATGCTCAAACGGGAAGGGTTCTTAGTGTGATCTAATCCTAATCAATGGTTATATGGAGTGGAAAAGGAGGATCAGAGAGGCGATGGACTGGCCCAGCATTGTACACCATAAAAGCCACAGGGCCAAAGCATGAACCTGGGTCTCCTTACTCTAGGCTGGTCCTTTTTCTCCTCTATTAGGCCACCTCCCATCCATGAATCACCCCCGACAAGACAGCCCCAGGATCAAACTTTTCATTCTGTGTATTGGCTAGGGGCTCCATGTGGCATCTTCTAAAGGCACTCGACACTGTAGTCTTTAAGAGCCCCCACATTCTCCCAAGGTTCAGCCGGCAATGGCAAGGCCAAGGCCCTGTGGCTATTGCTTCCTTCCATCTCTCTGGATCAGTCCAACGCTTGGAGAAAAGGAAGCTTGGATTACCGGGGCCCTCATTCTGCTGAGTTGGCAGTCTGGGCAGCCAGTGTGACAGCAGAATTCGATCCCTCCTTTGACTCAGCACCGGGGCCTGGGAGACCCTCACCTGTCAGGCTCTGAGTCCTGCCAACGATGCTTATCGCCTTTGCCCTTGCAGGTGATCTCCTCTCCTCCTTAACTTAAAGCTAATAGTTTGTCTCATGTCTGGGGCTGAAAGAAATGCCTGGAAGAGATACAAATGCTGGGTCGAGGCAGAAGCCATCAACCTGGAATGTCTAGAGTTAGCCAGGACGGAGGAAGGGTTTTGGGACTCCTGAGCCCTCTACCCCTAGCTGTGTCCAAAGTGGTCCCTTCACTCTCTCATACATCAGAGCCTCACTGATGCCTCTTAGGGACCTGACACTACTCAAGGTTCTGGAAACACAGTGACCTTAGTCAAGTGAGAACAGTCGCTGTGCTCCTCCTCCTTCCTGAGTCCAGACGTATGGTGTTTTCTTGCCCCTTGTGCACGCGTCCACATATCTGTCCATGAAGAACTGAATCGTTTGACCGAATGAACATAAATGGTGAAGTTTTGCTCAAATCACCACATGTTTTGCTAGGGAGTCCAGGCTACAGATATGGATGACACGCAGTCCTGTCCCTCGGGAGCTCCCAGTCTAGTGAAGGAGGTAGACAAAGAATTCTAAACTATGGACCAAGAGCTGTAACCAGACCAAGTACAAGAAGCACAGAGCATCCTGGGGGGCTCAGAGAAGGCATTTCAGGGGTGTGAGATTGGAGCTAGATCCCGAAGAGTGAGCTGCTTGCCCGAACACAGTAGTAGGAGCAGTAGCCATGAGAAGTACCAGGGATGGGAAAAATCCCTTCAGTGGCTGAGCTTTTCACATGTCACTCACTCCCTCTCGAAATCCTCTGTTCTCCACCCTCCTCTAATTAACCCCTGCTCATCTCCCTGATCTCTGCTGAAAGGTCATTTCCCAAGGGACACCTTCGCGGAGCTCCCTGATGAGGTCTAGTCCTCTTACTCTTTAACAGCCTCATGGTGCCTGTCCTCTGTCGCTCTTATCAGAGTTGAAATTGGCCAATTAGATGTGTGATTATTTGATTAAAGTCTCCTCACTGAAGCGTGAGGTCTGAAGGAGTAGAGCTCCATCTCCCTGTCCGATCTTTGTCTGCGGTGCGACATGTGATCTGTAGTAAGCGTTCAGTGAATGTGGTTAAGTACAGGATGGATGGGTAGAGGGGCGGATGGAGGCAAGGAGGCTGCAGGAAAGGGGTGAAGGGTAGCTGGTGAGGAGACTGGAGGGTTTTTTTCAGGGGGGAAAAAAGTTTCATTTATTTTTTTCTCTTCTTCCTCGTCTTTCCCAGCTACTCCTTTTACCAAGCCAGTTCCGTTCATTCTGAGGGACATTTGGTTTCCTTCCTTACTGTGTTTTATATGATAGAAGAAAGATCATGAAGAACAGATCCCACAGGCCGATCTCCTCAGGCACAGAGCAAAACCAAGAGCTTATCCTTTGTTTGTTGTTTGTGCCTCTCTGCTCAGATATGGCTGTAATAATGTGTTTGTTACAGCAAGTACCTGTCAGAGTCACACTTGTGTTCATAGCCATGCACATATGCACATAGACACCTGAGCACAGCTGTTGCCTGTTCTTGGTTCTGTCTTGCTAAGCTTTTTTTTTTTTTTTTTTTTAAGACCCTAATAGGATAGTGATGAAATGAAATCTGGCATCGTGAGTTGGGAGCACAAAGCCTAGGTGAATTTGAGGCAGAAATGAAAAAGCCAGGGATGTCACATGGGAGGGACTCCTTGTGAGCTTGGTTCTCCCCATGACAGTCAGGATGGGAAAGAAAGACCATTGGATCGCAGGAGTTGCACTGAGATGCCGTGGTCTTAGCCAACTGTTGACATCTTTCCCATCAGTGAGTCATCGAGTATTAGAGAGCCCAACGTGAACTTTGATCAGAGACCTCTTACCTTCCCTGCCTTCTATACTGAAGGGTCACACTTTATTGCTTTTGGTGGGTGAGGGGGTATGCTTATTGCTTTGAGCAACCAATGGACTAATCCTGTCTCTTTATTTCACAACTGGGACTCTCAAGGCTCCGAAAAGATAAGCCACTTCACCAAAATCACCAAGGAACCCCTCCAATTGGCTGAGGTTTGTTAGACTAGACCCCAGATTCTCTAAACCCCCTCACAACTACCTTTCCACTATGTCAATACAATATGCCCCTATGCCATTTCAGAAACATCACTAAGAGTCGAAGTTATACCAGCATTAAACTAGGTGATAGGGAGACCAAGAGGAACTGGATATTGCCCTTGTGTTCCACGTGCTTACAGTCTTCTACCAGCTGGAGGTTCATGAACAAACATTAGAACAAACAGTGTGCTTAGTGCTTATAGGGACAAAAAGTATTAGGGGGTTTGCAGACACTCCCGACTTACCCATAAGATTACTCTGGGCTCAGATCAGTAATGGCTTAACTCTGTCATCTTTTCCTCATTTTGGGGGTACCACAGAGTTGGAGAGACATGGGGAAGAAAAGCAACACATCAGTATGTGCTAGGTGTGGACCAGAATGGCAAAGAAAAGATAGGACGTCAACTTAGATTTAAATCACTGCTCTGGCCCTGCCAGGCTGATCTGGGCTCAGTCCCTGTCTCGCTCTGAGCTTCAGAATCTTCATCTGAAAAGTGGGAATATCAGTGCTTACCTCACATGTTGTTTGGAGAACAAAGAAGATGACAAACACGTAAAGCATTTGACCTCAAGGACCTCCACTCCAGTGCTAGAGAAGAGGGAGCCCACAGACCATTGTGTCAAATTCTGATGAGTTCTTACATTTGATCTTGACAATTCTTGAGCAGATTACGTTGTTTATATTGTACTATAAATTATGTTTTTCATTACCTACTACTGGGAAAAGTAGGGGAAGTCTGCTCAGATTTTCTCATCATTTCCTCAAGTAAAACTGAGTCCGACCTTAGAGAGATGTAAGTGATCTCTCCCATGGCTTTGCATACCCCAGCCTACAAGCGTGTCCACCAGCGCAGCCGCAGCTGAGTTGGGGGAAAGTTGGCTAGGTAAGTCTTTACAAATGGCAAAAGTGATAACTTGGCCAAGGGGGTGTTGGCATTTGAAGCCAGGTAGGCGGTCTACAGGGGTTTTCAAAAGGATGAGAGATAGCTGAACAATGACAGGGCTATTCCCCACCTAATCCAGGATGCTAACAGGATCCTTCCTTCTGCCTCTCTCCCCCCTTGCAGCCCTTCATGGGAGACAATTACTGTGATGCCATCAACAACCGAGCCTTCTGCAACTACGATGGTGGGGACTGCTGTGCCTCTACGGTGAAGACCAAGAAGGTAACACACCACCACCACCCTCCCAACCCCCGCCGACAGCGCCGCCTGCAGGCCTCTCCCACTTCCCAGCCTGGAGCCCCCTGCACAGCCCATTGTCCTGGCAGTGTCAGCGTGTGCCCCCAAGCTGTGATGCATTACGTTTTTTTATTCTTTGAGGCAGGAGTTGAGCTAATATCATGGACTGATCTTTGTAGATGTTTCCTTATCCTCAAAGCTTGGGGCCAGACATGGAAGCAGACAAATATCAGTATAATCAATACTTTTAGAAGGGGAGGACAGAGCACTGGGAGGGCCCAGGCCAGGGGCGAGAGAAAGACTCTATCAGAGGATTAGCATTGACACTGAAACTTAAGGGAGAAGGAGAAGGAGCCGGAAGGTGGCCAGGAAAAGCTTTGGGGGCAAGAGACTTGCTTGTAAAATCCTAGAGAGAACTTGCATCTTTGGGATGTATGGCTAAAATATAGGGGCAGAGAGAAGATGGGACATTGCTACCAAGGTAAGACTTCGCCTTTGATTATTTTATAATCTCTTTGTAAAATTAGGGGGTGTGGTCTCGGTTGTGATTTTCTTCCTTTGCATATTAGAGTTCAGCAGGAGTGAATCAGGTGTCTCAAGTAAAACAGGAACATTTGACTAGGGCGCATACCCACCACTCATGGAAAAGGGACCACCCCCCACTTTCTTCCTGATGAGAGCTGGGACCCCAGCCAAGAGCCAGGGAGGAGAGGTGGTCAGACTGGCAGCCTGGGTTGAGGAGTGCTCTGGTGATGAATGAGTTAATGGGGAGCTATTTCTGGTTTTGTACGCATCTACAGTCTGAGCCAAAAAGTCTTTTGAGCTAATCTCTCTCTCCTTAAAGAAAGGGGAACCGTGTTCCCGAGGCCGGTCATAGTCAGTCTTGGCGGGAGTGCTGTTAGTGATTATCGGGTCCAAACTTCTCATTTCCTAATGGGATAATTGAGGACGCTACAGGAAAACTGATTTGTCTATGGTGGCAGAGTGAGTGAGAGAAACAGAGCAAGGTTTCTGGCTTGTTCAAAGTACCTTTATGTTGCACCATCCTTAAAAGAATTAGTTCCTTAGGAGAGAGGTTCTGGCCTTAGAATACGGGGATGGACAGGGCTAGAACTAAGGAGCACAGTTAGACTGCATCTTTGATGACCAGGGCTGCTGGAGCTCCCTGGGGTCAGCTGGTCTTGTATGGGCAACCCTTCAGCACGCTCGCCCCCTCCCTTGATTTATGTATTAAACACCGAAAGTCAATACTTCCTGCTCAAATACAGTAGAATAAAATTAATTTCCTATTTATGAATTTTATCGTTCTCCCAATTATGAAACGACACATACTCTACTTTTTGGAAAATCCAGAAAGCAGAGAGAACAACAGAATCATTGCTTTTCTCACATCCCGGAAGTAGCCATTGCTTTTCCTTCTGCCGTATCTTACTGTGTGTGTAAGTGTAGGCGTGTGGGTATTTGTGCCTGTGTATACCTCGCAGCATTTCTAGTGCAGGATCCTGTGTTGTTGGTTTTGCCTTAGCACAGGAAATCGTATACAGAAGAATGGTCTGATATTATTATAAACTTTCCGGCGATCGTTTTTGCTCTGTTATTATTTATTAGAGGGTTGTGATGGATCATGATTTATGGAACCACTCACCTTAGGCTGTTCTTTCTAACTTGTGGGTTATTTCAGTTTCCCACCATGATAAATAATGAGGCTGGTGAATATCTTTGCAGGTAAATATTTCTCCAGCTCTGTTCCTTCACAATTGCCATTTAGAACTGAAATGACTAGGATAAAAGGTGTGAGCATTTATAAGGCTCCTGGCGCCTGGTGCCAGATGAATACAGAGTACAATAGCACCAGTTTCATTTGTTGGAGTCCGTTTTCGAAAGTGAATGGACAATGAAGTGTGTGTTTTAAACAGAAGTTTGGGTAGAATTATGATGCAGTAGTCATGTGACACCATCCATTGGAGCAAGAGCAGCTCTGATTAAAAGAATTTTCCTACGAACTATAACTTTATATACAAAAACATTAAAAAAAAACTAATTTATTTTTATTGGGAGACTTCCTTAAATGGATTGCTGTTTCTGCAGAGCGCGTGGTAGGAACATGAAGTCATGCGACTGAGCTTCAGGTGCAGATTCCAAATGATTATAGTCACTTGAACAAACATCTATGTACACCAAATGGCCATTTTGACCCTTTGCTCCTTCTGGATTTGGTTGCAACAATTTCAGACGTCCCAGCCCTTAGGTGCTGCCTCTTTAGGAAGGGACCCAGAGTTGTTCGTTCTTTGCTAGTTCTGAATATGCTTCCTAGTCTTTTTTTTTTTTTTCCTTTCTTTCCTTTTCTACCCACATTATGTATGTAACTTTGGCTTTTGGGGTGAAAAGATCCCCTTCTTCCACTTCACATTGGTGATCCTCCTCGTCAGCCGAGGCTGCGGAATGCAGAGAGCCAAGCTTCCTTCATGCAGTAAGATGCGTGATCCCTGAGCGTCTGTGAGGGCTCAGCACTGTACTGAGCTATGTACCCAGGGCCAAGTCCAGATAGACTGGCACCTGCCCCTGTGAAGTTCACAGGCCGTAAGGGGAGCCAGGCGTTAGGCGGTGAGGCACTGGAGTGCCTTTGTCAGGGCAGTAGAGGAAAGGTGCGGAAGGTTACGGAGACCGGTGTGAAGGTCAAGGAAGGCTTCCCTGAGGAAGCGATGTTTACACTGAGCCTTGAAGAGTGAGTAGCTTTCCTGGAGAGGAGTAGTGTTGAAGACAGGCTGGGGAGGCCTGTGAGCACCGCGTGGGAGGTGTGGGTGACCGGGCCTCTCGGCTTCTCTTCTGGTACATATGGCTTTGCCATAGTTGTTCATTACTCACAGTGTTGGAGGCTTTCTTTGGATTTGAGATTCCTGGGAGTCTGACTTCTGGAGGAGAAAGGGATCTCAGATTAAGCTCGTACTTCCTACCGTTTAAGTTCCCCAGTTTAACTTCTAAATAGGCTCCCGCTTCTCAAATGCTTCAACACACTCTCTTACACCCGCCCAACTCCACTTCCCGCAGTAGCTGGTTTACCGAGACAGCAGGTGGAGAAACAGAGAAGGAAAGAGACACCCCTCGGTGAGTTGCCGTGGCTGTCACACATCCTGCCAGACACGTGTCCTCCGTCAGCTTCTTGAATCCCCGTGGCCACTCCAACAGGCCACTGTCAGCCCCCGTGCCTAAGTGAGCCAGTGTGGGCTCAGAACTCTCACAGGACAGGCTTGAGTTCACTTGGCCGCAAGTGCCGAGGCCCAAACGCGAACCTAGGCCTGCCTGATGCGAGAGCCCAGCTCACTCTTGCAGCATGGGGCTGAGTCCTCCGTGTGCCTGGGCCTAACCCTCCCAGTTCTGGTTGGAGACAATTCACCGCGAGCCCCGACTGCCAGGGAACCTTGGATAGGGGACCCCTCCCCTTGGCAAAGGTGAAAGCAGCTTTTCCCAGCAGCAAAGACAGGGTGGGGAGTAGTTGAGGCTCCCAGCCTTGCCAGCCATCCCTGACGTCCCAGACAGCAGTTTCCTCTGAGTGGAAAAAAGTCCTGGTTTCTGTCTCCAGCTTCCCCAGCAGGAAGCCTCTTAACGGCAGGGGAGGGGCCAGAGGCTGGCTTCCATCCTCTCATTCCCTGCTCCGTCCGTACTGCCGGTGCTGGTCAGTTCCTGCCTGAACTCTTGGCCCGGGGGTACCCATAGTGGGGAGTTCCCTGCCCGCGAGCACACGGCCTGGCACTCAGAAGCTCACTGAGACAGCAGATTGGCTTCATGCACCTTCTTCACTGACGGTCATGTCATTAGCGGAGCACACACTACGTGCCTGGCCGTGGTGGGGAGTCTCTGTGCCTATTGTCTCACTCTGAGACCCCAGAAAAACCCGACAGGGTAGACTCAGTGGAGGCTCAGAGAAGTGAACTCACTTGTACGTGGTGGCAGAGCTGAGTGTAGGATTTAGGATTTCCGGGCTCTGAACGACGATCACTCCTGTTTATGGAGGGCCCGCGGTGCGCCAAGCATCATGGTAACTGCTTTTGCATGTCATCTCTTTTCATCACACAGTCGCCCTATTGTAGGTGGTGTCTTGTTGTCCTCATTTTATAGTTAAGGCCGCTGAGGCTGAGAAGGGCTGAGGTCCTACGGCCAGCAAGTGGTAGAGCTGAGAGGGGAACCTCGTGAGCCTAAGCCACGAGGCAGTCACTTCTAACCCCTGTTGTAAACATCTAGTTGTTTACAGCTCGACATAAACATCGAACTTGCATCTTGCCCAGGCATTTTGCCCTTCCCCTGGTGGGTGGACTTCTCCCTTCCTCGTTCGCCTGGACAGGAGTCCCGGGTGTGAACTCAAGGCTAAGGGGCAAGCACACAGCATCTTCTCCCAAACATCCTTCTAGCCAACTCTCTAACTTAACCTCTTCCCAGTCTCCGGGACTCGGGCCTCCTGGTCACTTGGCCCAGAATGATGTCTGTCTGCTCCCTTCATCCTTCCTTCCTTGTTTGTCCAGACACCAGCTGTTCCCCACATCTGCCTTGTGGGGTGACCTGGGCCCGGCTGGCAGACAAGAGCAAGACAGTGCAGGAAACTCCGTCTGACAGGGGTGACCGTTTTCCCATCCAGACACCTGTCTGCAGCGCGAGGCAAACAGGAAGGGGCAGGACCCAGCTTCTCAGCATGTCAGTTTATTATTTTCCTGTTGGAGCCTTGAGGAGTCTCGAATACAGAGCAGATTTCCAGAATGGTTGCTTCAATAATTTACCCTCATAACAACAATGAAAAAATTCATTCATAACTGGAATCATCCTAAGGAAGCATGTGTTGGAGCTTTAAGGGAAGAAGGGGAAACAGCCTTAATCCATTCAACATAGCAAGGTTTTGTAAGGCGGGGTGGCCTGGAACACTACTTTTGGTCGTGTTTTAGACAGCTGCTAAGAGACTGATTCTGGACGATGTCTGGGAAGTTGGGGTGTAGTCC